AGAAACTACATGCACAAGAGTGACTGCTGGCATTCATTCATATTTGTGCTGTTAAACAACAGGAGGGGTGCAGCGACCAAACTTAGGCTTGCAGATATCAAAAGAACAGAACAAGTAAGATTAGTGAGGTTACGAGTGCTGTGCCACGGTTGTCATAGCATGTCCTCGGATAAGTCTAGAGATTCTGTGCTGAATGGGCACAGAATTCCCTAAGTTATTTCGTCAACCCTAGTCCTAAATTATAAGTTACCCACTATGTCTTAAGCACAAGAGCGTATGGTACCCAGGGAATTTTGTTGTCTTGCCTGGATTGAAAGATTACGAGCCACTGTTTGTAGAGATTTTTTCATGACACGGGTTTCGACAGGAAAAGAAGCTGTCCCCAAGATTTTTAGTTTTCTGTGAAAGTCAGTTTTGCACAACTTTAAGAACCAGATTTGCCAAAAACTTGGTATCTTCAATTTCTGAAACACTTCAACAGTACAAAACGTCTGTATTGTACAAATAAATAATGTGGAATTCTTCGAGCCGAAAGAAGCCTGTTAATTACAGCTGAATTAAGCTCTCCAAGCCAAATATTATCAGCGGCACAAAAATATGTGTGAGATGCATTAGACAATGTTTATTCGCTGCGTGAACTTTCTGCGTTTTCAGTGATTAGTTTTTCTTTTGGTAACAGTAATTTTCGAGCAACAGTAATCTTATTCGAGCTTTTTCGTTCATTTTTAAAAACTTTTAACTGAGAGTCAGGTAACCTTTAACCACCTTGTAACCTTGACGTTGAATCGTGAGGAGAACTTAGAGAGTGCGCTTTTTGTGGTCAGCCGCATTTATTGATTACCGACGTCATTGCTCTGATTGCTTCGGTGTGATGTGCAGGACCCATTAAAATTTAGACTATAGCACCCCCGTGGTGGCAGCCAAAAAATGCATTGGCATAAGTTCAATAGATAGTTAAACAGAAACAAGAAATTCATGTCTGAGAAAAATCAGCAAGGCCCACTACAGCTAGCCAGAGGCAGTCTGCTCTGAGCAGAAGCACCCCCTCAATAGGTGGAAAAGAGCCATGTTGGTGGGGAGCATTCATTTTGCTGGTAGCGACGTGACCATAACATTGTTTGTAGTCGTTTGTGAACCAGCAAAATGCAATTCCCACCAAAGGAGCCTCCGTTGCTAGGAAACGTGTGCCCTCTCTTAGCCCAGCTCATGGCTCATATGCATGCATGGCCTGATTTTTGATTTTGGTTGGCATATTTTTATGCTCTACATTGGTTAGGCTACGTAGTCAAGTACAGTTTGAGTACCTCTACCATAACCTATTAATGAGTATGAGTGATTTGTTGAGTACAAAGGAGTACTTATCCCCGGAGTGAGTACTAATTGATCACATAGCAGTTCTAAGACTTATAGCCAATGGACTAGGTCAAAGGTCATACATTAACTGACAATGTTGTGTTCAAGTCCTTCACAAGGCCAGTCACAGGGAGTCAGGTTGGCGTAATGGTTTTCCTTGACTTCCACCTCTGCGGCCTGGGTTCGAATCCCAGCTCAGTCCACATGTGGATTGGGTTTTCAGTCCTTACCCGCTTCCGTGGGTTTTCCTCCCACTTCTAAAACTATACCTGCTTCTCGTCTCCTCTCTACAGGTTTCTTCAGGCTGGCGAGCTACAGTGCCTAGGGCGCTTTTAAGGAATCTTCAGTGTCATGACCAGAAACTAATAATAATAATAAGCAGCAGGGTGAACAATGACAAAGGAATGTTTTTGTTAAAGCTCATTTGAATAGCCGGTGGATTGGCTTGAATACTGAATGACTTGTGGACTTAACTTGTGATGGACTTGGAGAGACTTAAAATAGTGACAGACTCGAATGCAACACTGCTAACTGAAATATTTGTGGAGTTTCCCCAAGAGGAGCGTCATGATGGGACAAATTTGCCACTGACAGAATTTTCAGAAATTTCTTAGAACACCTTATTAAGGCAAAGCAGCAAAAAGTAAACTAATGATGTAGATTTTAAAGTTTCTGTACATAAGACATGAAAATTGACTCAGAAAATATATATTCGAGTAGAACGGGTAATTAATTAAAGTTTGGACCAGTATGCAAGGTGAATGTTATGTTAGATTGATTTTTAACATTTGTTCGAATTAATGTGTGCTCACTTGATGAAGTTGTAAATAATTGGCATGCATGATCGACAGAGGGCGCTGAGACATTACCACTATTACTTCTCTTGACATTTTCAGATTTTCAGAATCCATCAGACTCCAAATTTATATCTACTAGATATTGTTTCTGCAAGTGTTACTTTCCAAACCAACCAACTCCATGTAATGGCCAAAGTCTGGCGCCCTCTAAGGAGTGTTGGATCCAATTATCAAATAAAGAAATGGAACACAATCGACAAGTTTCTTGAGTTTTTTCTTACATTCAGCGGAACAGGTTTGCTCCCCAGCCAAAGTCTTTCATACACCGTGGAGCTTTATTTTAAAAAATCGCCGACAACATTTCTCCTTTTTTGTTGATGTGTCATGTAATACCATTTCCATTCCAAGGTATTTTTTTCTCAATTTAGTTTCTGAAAATTTCCTACAACCACAAACCAAGACAAACTAAGTACAGTCTTAAGATTTCATCTCTTTTATTCCAACAAATTCACACAGGAAAACATTACAATACATCTAGGTTAGATAACGGGGCTGCAACGGAGTGTCAAAAAAATGAACCAAAGGGATGGATAACAACAATTTAAGTATTCTCCTGAAGGGAGAGTTCCAGAACTGAAACGGAAAGAGCAGTAGTCTGCAACGAAGCAAAAGTTGCGGACAAAATGGTCCACTTGACAACTGCGCATGTTCTTGATTTGAAACAACAAAACTTCTCCAACTCTTTCCAATAGATGCTAAGTAGCTAACCCGACAAAGTTTCAGCTCTGTGAAATCCAGTCTATTTTGAGGAAAACCACCAGATTTCTGGTCTCTTAGCTTAATTTTCAAGTTGCCTATTCATGTTTTTTTTTCAGAAAGGAGCAAAACGGTCCACTCTACATTTCAAGACGAATTTACACATGATATAACAAATGGTTTGACTGACTTTCTTTTCAGATTAATGTTTGAATTAAAATTCCACATTTTTCAAAGTCTTGCAGTCCAACCAGTTTGGAAACATCTAGTAATTCATACTGTCCCAAAAGATGCTTTAAAATACTCCAAGAACATTAAGCTTTAACGTTAGAATCCAACATGAGTGAGTTCATCTGTGTAATCTACCAAACACTTTTTTTTCTCTTTCCTTAGCTGTGAACTGCAAATTGCAGAGTTAACACATGACATTTCTTGTTCGGAAGCCAGCTGGAGACAGCGAGCTCTTTTGCAGTGTCTCGGGAGAAGCTACTCCTTTTCGCTGGAGGAACTTCGACGGTGATGCGAACGGGAACGGCTGAAAAGAAAACAAAGCAGAACGCCAATAAGGGCTGTGCCGATTATTCAAATAATGGAATATCCAATCAATTACAAAATATTCAAATATTTAATTTCCATATCGAATATTCAGCGGTGACAATGCATGGAATGACAGGGAAAGCTTAAAATATGGTTACAAAACTGTACTCTGAAGGTGTCTCTGAAGCTTTTATGGGTAAACTCACAGGTAACTATGCCCCATGTGACGGCAAACAAAATTACTTTTCAGTGCACTTTTACTTTTCATTTGGACTTAGGAAATGGACCATCAATTAGGACCCAAATATCTTGGACTCCCAGCTCTCTTGAACTAGGGGATGGACCGCTACCCTGAGGCGGAGACTGAACGAGGAAAACACCCCAAAAACCACGCACACCTTTGAAAGGCTCTGTTATTTGAATACTTGACAAAGCAGAGGGGCTGAATAATTGAATACTTGACAGAGCAGAGGGGCTGAATATTTGAATACTTGACGGAGCAGAGGGGCTGAATATTTGAATACTAGACGGAGCAGAGGGGCTGAATATTTGAATACTTGACGGAGCAGAGGGGCTGAATATTTGAATACTTGACGGAGCAGAGGGGCTGAATATTTGAATACTAGACGGAGCAGAGGGGCTGAATATTTGAATACTTGACAGAGCAGAGGGGCTGAATATTTGAATACTCAATTGTTCAAAGTGACTCGGCCTTAATGTATATGTCTGCTCCAAATGCAAGAATGAACTAATTTGTCGATATCCATATCCGAGGAAATTAGGAGGCCACAATGGGAGTGGGGCCTAGGTCTTCGAGTGGTTCGAGGCTTGTGAATTACGATGCCTTCCTGGACGATCTTCAGTGTCTGCATAATTAACCGGCGATAAGGTCTGAAACCAAGATCTCAGTAAGCCTAAGTTACCTTCTGCTGCGACTACGAGACTTGCTGCCGCTGTCACGTCGGCGCGGCGAGTAGCTGCGGCTACGACTTCTAGAGCGGGACCTAAAAAGACAATGAACAGTTGGCACGAGGCTAAAATAAATAGCTTAGCCATTCGGGCTTTTGTTACAACTCTATTTAACTTAGTGTTCAACACTTCACGTTACTAGTTAGCTTTGTAAAAGACACATCTCCTGATGCAGCATTTGAAAAGATTTTGAAATTCTAAAGTCTTATCTTGGCTGCTCTTCACTTAAATCTGGCTGCAAATGACTAAGGAATCGAACATTTTTCTTCAGGTTAACGTCAATTTTGTGGTTGGAGTTTTGCGTGTCTGCAACACAGCAGCTGAGCACTTTGGATTTTAGACACACTGAAACAAAAAGGGAACCAAAGTTTGGGAACGACTGACGTTTCTGTGGTCAAGACATTTTTCTAATAACATTATTTCCAGCTCTGGATGCAAAGAAAACATAAGACTAGTAAGTTTACAAGATGGAAATTTGTCTTTGGGTCCACTGTCTATTTCCAATTAAGCTAAATTCCATTTGTTGGTTCACGAAGCTGGCTATTCGGTTTGTGTCTCTCTCTAGGAATGATACTAGTTGGAATGGACACAGAAAACATTAGAAAAGAAACTGAGAAAAGGGTTGAAAACAGACCCCTTCGTACTTAGCCACTTGGACGAAATGTGAGCATATTTCTCTCTTTTTTAGGAGTGGGCAAGTGGGATTGCCGGCTTGCTCTCATGGAGAGAAGCGACGCAAGACTCTCTCTAAATGGACGCTCTCTATCTTTGAGGCAAACGGTGGAGACGGCTTTGCCGAGGGCAAATTTGAAAAGCGGCGGTGTCGGTCTGAAAACACATCTCTGATGCGTAGCGGCGTGAATCCTAACTGTGCTTCACGTCTTCGGCTCTTCACATCCTTAAAAAAATCCCCACCCCCGAGGCCGGCGATAGCTTTCTCTTTATCGACGCAAGGCGAGGGGGGATGGTTTCGGGCGTGTGCGGGCGTGAGCATGTGCAATTGTGGGCGCCGAAAACTCGCCAGGGGAAGAAGATATTCAGGCAGTAATTTGAGAAGCGGGAAACCTGTTTAGCTCAGAGTCACATGACACTGACTATAGGAAGCCCTGTAAAACAAAGTTGAGCGTAAACAAAAGTCGGTTACAGTCAACTGGAAGTGAAGGAAAACAAGATCATTATGGGTTGGTGTCGAGTTTCTGTCAGTGGGCCATTTTTAGGATAAAAATGAGTCAGGTGAAATTTTTTTTCCTTCGCTAAAATTCTGTACTTCTGAAAACAAGAAGTGAACTACGATCAGTTGATATCAAGAGACAGATGAACACAATTATTTCATCATGAATACTATTCTAATCAGTAGAATCATTTCACACAAATGTTTTATTTCTCAGACAACTTGGCAATTCCCTTTGGAAGTTGACCTGCTGCGATTGTGAATATATGCTCAATTGCTAATACATAAAATACACCCGACTGACAATTAGGAGAGAGGCTGGTAAGTCCTAGCAGATATCCAAAACACAAATGGAATGGAATAGAATGGTTTCTCTTGTGGGGCTGGATTGGGTTGGCCACACCACCTACCTGGAGCGCCGATAGTCCCGGCTCCGCCCCCCGTAGCCTCCCCCGCTGTACCGTCGATCACTGCCACCCCCTCGGCTGCCCCCACTGGGGCACTCTCGGGCAAAGTGGCCATAGTCGCCGCAGGCATAGCACTTGTCGTTTCGGCTGGCACGACGGGGCGGAGGTCTGCCGCCCCCCGGGCCACCAAAACGCCGACTCTTCGGTTCGCCCCTGGACATCTCCACAGTCACCTCACGGCCACAAATTCGCCTGGAAAGCAAAGTGGGCGTCCGTTTGAAAGACAATAAGCACATGTACAATAAGATAGAGGGTTTGCGGATAAACCATGTGGAAAATATCTGCAAACCCTCTACCTTATCGTATTCCACCATGCAAACCGTCAAGAGCCACTTCACATGTACATGTCTGGGTAAACTGTACAGATGGAATTCCACAGACCACGATGACAGTGAATCTTCCATTTGTTGCCTAATTGAACTTCTTCTAGTCCATTGAAATTCTTTCATCTTTTGATGTCCCTTAATTTGAACTTCACTTAAACCTTAATCTTCTCCCTACATTTCACCTTCAGTTTTGGCATCGTGTGGGAAACAGAACTTTCATGAACTGTGCGAAAGCAAGTTTAATTTCTTACCTAACATTTCTGCTAGAAAGTACCAACCCTCCTCAATCCTACAAAATCCTCCTCTGTGCAGAAAACAATGGAACAATCTTTGTACTTCTACTTTCAAGGGACATCAAGCCCATGTAAAGTAACAGTGGCTGGGTTCTACCTTTTACTCAATCCTTCCTAGTGCATTTTGCAGAATCGGGAAAGGTTAGGGTTAATGGCGCGGTTCTTACTTTCTATGCCCCTTCACGGCATCCTGGGCATCGAGTGGGTCTTCGAACTCCACAAAGGCAAAGCCAGGTGGGTTCCTGGCCACCCACACATTTCTCATCACTCCAAACGATCGGAAAGACTCTTCGATGTCATGCTTGTCGAACGACGATCCTAGATTGGAACAAAATCCAAGGGAGACATTTCAATTTTGATCTCATGTAAAATGAATCTCACTTTTTGAAGCGGTTTTTGCAAAGACATCAATTTAATCCTTCCAAAGACATGTACAATCTTTTGGACTGCTTGTCTGCCAATTTTTAAATAGCACTTTGCTGAATGATGTACTCTAAAAAAAACCTGGATCTTTGAAGGGCAGTGGATATTGGACCATGAACTAGTACCAATATAGTTCTGCATTTTTGCCAGCAAAGTAGAACTAAACCTGCACTGAGAGTGCTTTTAAGGACTTAGAAACTTTAGCCTAACAAATCTTCCCCTGGTTCCATGCTTGCATTGTCATTGTGAGTTAGTATTCATGAGATGGAATTTGGACTTAGTGGAATTTTGGACTTTTTTCCCTGTCAAAACAAATCTTCCAGAGCCACGGGGGACCGGTCGTGAAGAGAAAAACGGAAGTGTCCAGCAATTTGGTTTGAATTCGATTTAAAACAGCGAACAGTAGTTAACACCCCTTTTTGGGGTAGGGCAATAAAGTTGGCAAGATTCCTGCAGATCAGACCCAAAGATCAACATGCATCTCCGTGGCTGGTAAGCCAACTGATTCCGCCACGCACCCACCCTCAGGAAAACTGGACAGTGGGTATCAGTTCCATGCCGCTGTTTGAAAAAAATATGGGTATTTGGAAAGTCGCAAAGCAGGTAGCCTACCTAGCCCGCCCACGTACACCTTGCATTCCTGGCTGGAGGAACGGCTGCTGCTTTGGTAGCGAGACATCGTTACACAAGAGAGGAAACCCTGCCAGGAGTAAACATTTATCCATTACACCAAACAAAAAATTACACTAAAAAAAAAGAATAGGGTGGTTGGTTGGGTAAAATATTTTTTTTTAATCTTAATTTTATAGCCCAAAAAATCAGGGTCGGATGATGGTCTGTACTTTGGGGGGGGGGCACACATATTTGTAACAGGTACTAAGTCAGTGTCAGATTAACCCGAACTCCCTCGGCCCTTTTAGCTAGGGCACCTCCTCAATCCGCGAGAATCCTCCAATTTGGGGTGAAAAAATAGGACTCTTCCTCCGTCCTTCGAAATCCTCCAAAATTTCTTGAAAATGTTACTTGGAGGTGTGCCTACTGCTTCAATCCTCCAAAATCCTCCGGCAATTCCTCTCATTATGTTGAGGCAGTGCGAAGGGCATTCTTGAGCAGTGGGGTTGATTCAAAAGAAATATCGGGCTGAATTTATGCATGAGTGAGCCGGAACAACACAAGGTCTCAGCCACGACCTTCACTCATGGCATTCTTCGCAATCAGCCGTGCACTTTTGCCATTCACCCTCAATCCTTCGAAATCCTCCAAAACCGCCTGAAGGATTTGGGACGATTGAGGAGGGTTAGGGTTAAATCTCCATGTGGACAACACAGTCGACATTAATTTGGTGAATGCCGTAGAGTTCTCTATAAAATAACTAAGCCCTAGGCCTACATCATTATGATCATGTAATGTAACCTATACAGTTATAATAGGCCTAGGTCTATGTCGTTTGTGGAACTCCTCTCTCGACCAACATGACCAAATTTTGAAGAGGCTACCTCCATGGTAACACTCAAGCACGGACGGCAAAGTAGAAATAAATGGGGCGAAGTGGGGATGGGGCGATGTGGTTAGGGGCGATGTGGTTAGGGGCAAAGTAGTAGGGGTGACGTGGAATGGGGCGAAGTGACTGAGCGTATCACGTACTGTACCCCTAAAATAGGCGAGAGTTTCTGTCTAACCGAGAACTAAAGTAAAACGTATATTTTTGGCTTTTGAAAGGGGTTCCTTCCCCCTTGTGATATAACAAGTACACCTATGATACAACGAGTACAAATAGTACTTACTATTCTTTATGTAAAATAAGTCTGACCCCCCAAAACTGGTAATTATATTGGGAGAAAAACTCACAATTCTCTGATCTCGGTTGCAACAGATCCGCGACTACCGGAAACGTAGAGGGCGCCACAAGGCACGCTGATATCGATGATCGAGGCGCAGGCTAGGACTGGTACCAAGTCCCAATAGGTGCTTCGCCGCCTTTGGGCCGGCCGCGCCGACCAGCAGAAATCGATATACATATCCCATGTATGTGCACGTACATATAAATCGATATCAAGTTCGACGACACTCTGATAACGTTCGATAGATGATTTGGCCGTGAAATTTATGCAAGTTTTCTGACATCAGGAATATTCTTATATGAGAATGCAAACGTCTTTCACATCGCACTATACCATGGGGGTCCAACACTCACGTCTCATTCTCGTCTGAAAACTCATCCGAGTTCCGACACTTGTACATTTACTTCAATATTTATGCAACAAATAAATATTAAAGTACAGGTGTTTCTATTTATTGAACGTTGCAGGCCAATATTGGGGGTAAAAACACATCTTCCGGGTACCACATTGGATAATCGCTTAACGCTCTGAAGACCTGGGTTAAGCACAAGTGCTTGCCGCATTTTTTATCCTACAGGATGTAACCTAAGGTGGGCCCAGACACGGTCCCGGCTTCACTTCCAAAACACGCAAATTAAAGACACCTTAATGATGCAATCATAAACATATTACATGCAATGAAATGATTATTTCTGTTTAATGAGATTTCAATAGTCCACACTGACATTCTTAAAGACAAATAGCAACTGGGTCCAACTCTACCAAAAAACAATTGACTTCCCGCCTTCAGTTTCCAAAAAAATTCTGCTACAAAAATTCAGACCATTTCGAATCCGACCCTCCGTTAACATCACAATTACCCACTTCTTCGAGAATACGGGTGCACCTACATATAGTTACATATAGTTACAATAACAGTATATCAGTTGGAAATCTTGACACACAAAATTATTTCCCTAGAAAAAAATGTGCTTCATTTGTTTAAAAATATTCTAAAATACACCAAATGAATAAAAAGGTTTTTTACGGTGGGGAAAGTGCGACTTTAAGTGGCTCCTTTGTTATTTAAGGCAAAAAATTCCCCAAATGTGCGTCAATGTGCCGCGATCGTGTCACCACACAGGGGCGGATCACGTGACTCCGAACTGCAACGGGACACCGGGGAGTTTGGCAACGCGCATGCGCGCATATAAAGTTGACACCGGAATCGTACTGTACACGTACAGTACAAGTTTCCATTGTGGAGGCTCACTGCTTCTTGGGGTTCACCTAGCGTGCAAATCTTGGGACCAATCGCATCAATTGGCCCAGCAAAGACAATACGTTTAACACTTGAGGATTACCAACCAACATGCCATGCAGGGTGTACCCTCTGTGACTGGTCCCCCGCTCAGTTTTGCCAGGCACAAATCTGCCATGTTATGTTTTATTTCTACGAAATAAAGCCAAAACTCGGGAAAAACCATTCTACATGTACACGTAAAATCAGTGCATCTTTGGCCAAAGAGTTTAAACGTGGACTTCCTGACCTACCCACCTTGATTCCACAACCCTGAACTTTTTAAAAGGGAGTGGAGAAATTTTGGCAAAATGTGAAGTCATGGTTTCAGCAAAAAATTCCATGGAATTATTTATGCACGCAACTACTACCCTTGAAAGTGTTGTTTATTTCATTTGAACAAAAAAACTGCCACCGAACCTTTCTTGCTGTTATTCTAACGAGTAAACACTTAACGGCAGACCGAATCAGCATTAAAATACTTGTGCAATATAAAAACGACACCTTCCAACCAACCTGATCTGTATTTATGTTACGCAACAGGAAGCAGATGTTTTTCTCACCCGACCAGGTATTCCATCGACAGTCTTTGTTCCATGCTCTTGAACCCTTGCTGTAAGTTGCATTTCTTATCTCCAAATCTGACTCACACCGGATCATATGACAAGCTTCATAAGAAGTGATGCACAGATTTCTGCTAAGCTTGAACGAAACTTGCTTTGCAAGACGATCTGGCTACCAACCAAATTATCATGTGAAGTATGCACAGCTCGCTCACGTACACCAGTGATTTTTGCTAACAATCTCAACCTGTAAGGTACCACTAAACAACTTAATGAAACGGGGAAAGCGTTGTCTCCCATTTGCCAAATTGGTATGACACTATTACATTATTATCCTTAGAAATTAAGCAAGTAGATTTACTTTACACTAGCAAACAAGAGACACTGAATTGTTCATGAAAAAAAGGTCTAGTCGTGTTCGTGAGATTCTAAACCCAGTTTTCATAGGTTATACACTGATAAATGTGCCAAGGACAATTTTTTACACTAAAAATCAATGGTAATTTTTCTAACACAAGATGGTTAAGATATTAACAAGTGTCTAGCTGCACAGGAAAATATAAGATTGTTTTTTGCTCTGAAAGTCTGGCTGGGTATTAAAAAGACCCGTTATTTTGAATAGTCAGGAACGTACCCGACTGAAGTGGCACAGAATATGACAACCGGACATTGAAACTCAACGTGAACACACCTTGGTGCGCCATTCGAATTGTGTGAGAAAACTAAGCTGCACGAGCAAACATGCCACAAATCTGATGAATTAGTCTCAAAATGTGACACAAGTTACGTTACCCGAAAAGCTACGTGTCAAACTATAGGAACAAAGAGGACCCTCACTTGACTAAGACATTGTGATCCAAGCTCCCAGGTCTTACAAACTGAAGACCATGGGGGGGGGGGGATTTTCGCTAGGCATAATAAAAACTGGGTATCCTAAAATGTACATGGGTGTGGCCAACTCTCCGCCACTTGGCCTGTCCTGGGTCTTAATCCCTGTCAGATGAGCTCCGGCTGTGACGACGACGTTGGGAGTAGGATCGGCTGAGAACGGAGAAATGAGAAAGGACAAAGTCATGCCGATCCCGCTTTTTGCCAGCACAGACCAATCTGTCGACTGGTCAAATGAGGTGGCCCCCGCCAATGGCTGTAAAGCGCTGCGATGACCATTGTACAGAGCCAATGTTTCTGTGACAGCAGCTCTGCACACAACCCAGTACAATGCTTTCCACCATTAGCGGGGGCCGTGGGGAATATCCAGTGAAATGTCAATGGATTTCTCTACATGTACGTGTTGGAAAGAATTCGGCAACTAACGGAAACAAGTGTTGGCTCTTGGTGACAGAACATGAGGAGAATCATTGCTAGGCAGCAAAAGCTCTACTGATCATGCGAGGAACCCATAGCTGGGGAAAAGGTTCTCCCATCACGAGAGGCACTCCTGCAAAGTGAACAGGAGGAAGATTTTGAATGGTCGACCTACCTCCTGCTACGACTGTGGCTTCGACCGCGACTGCGGCTCCGGGAGCGGCTGTGGTCCGAATACCTCCGCGGCGAGTAGCTGCGATCTCGGGATCTGGACCTGAGATGAAGGAAAAAGGTCAGACAGACCCTGCGATGAAAAGATAATTCGCCTTTTCCAAATCCTGACACTAAATACACCGGCCAGTATCACAGGTCAAAACAAGTTGGCAATGAGGCTGCTTCAAAAGTGAAAAAAGTATTCCCGAAGTGATGGGCAAGTTATACAGATCAAGCCATCAAAACTATTGCTCAGACAAAGATATACCGTAAACTGAAAGAGATTTTTAATGAACAAGGAGAGAATTTCAGCAAAATAGTGGCACATTGAAAAAAAAACCTGTCTGATTAATGGCAAACTTTGCATAAATATATTTGTTACTGCACACATGTTCATTCAGATGCGTATCACCGGCGACATTACGCCAACAGAACAAATGAAAGTTCAAAGTACTGCACGACTTTAAGCTACATTAATACTTTCCGTTAAAAACTAAATACAAGTAACAAAAGTTTGAACAACAACCTCGTACAGACGAGCAGAGATGAGTGCTCAATTTGGTGTTTGTGAATCTATTGCCGACAACTGAGCCTCGACGAATGCGATGATCATTTTTTGGTTTTAAATTGCCGGGGTGTTGCCATGGTGAGCTGTTTTATGCGTGCTGGCCTGAACGAGACGACTCTCGGCCGAATTCCCCCTTCCTATGTAAAACCTTGACGAACACCGCCCATTTCCTGACAAACAGGCGTGATGGGGGGGTGGATTTTTTTGGGCTGTGACGAAGGCAGGGTGGCACAACTTTGGGCCGGCCTAATTTGCTAAGGAGCCGAGACGCGCCCGCCTGCCCGCCGGTGCGGCGTTTTTGTGTGGGGGGTTGCGGCTGAGCTGGTTTTTGGCCGACGGGCAACTGTGGACCTGACCGACTGGTGCTTAGGCAGATCACATGACTGAGGGACCACATGCTGATCACATGGGACGCAACGTGGCCATCACATGTCGATCAAATGCCATGTTAAAGGTGAATGGGACATCCTGCAAAAAGGGGGCGAGTGTAAATACAAAATGGTGAAAAGAATCTAGCTTTCTTGACAGCCCTACAACACGTCAGACCTTTAGTCTCCAGATTCAACCCCCCCTATTGAAAATGTCACTGTCCTGTCTTCACAAGTGTCACTGAACTTTAGACAGAGTTCTAACCTAGTGCAATCCTCCGTCCTTAACATCCCCCACAAGTGAGCAGACTTTCTCAAGGAATATGACACTTCCAACACCGGGGATTTTAAAGAGTTCCAGTATCTTTTCCTTTCCAATTAATCCGAGGGTTCAGTGGATCAGTTTGTGCTAGACAAGTTCAAATAAGTCAAAACAAAATGTTGTCATACATGGACTGCAATAAAGGATTTCCTTGATTGCCTCCAAGTTCCAAACCATGATGTGAAAGAAGCCTGTAGTTTTAAGAGAACATCCCAGGTGAAATGATAGAGACTACCAGCCAAACACTGGCACATACAAGCTAACTTTGCACTGGTGACCAGTAAACAGCTTACCCACTGAATTTGTTAGCACAGTCCCCCTACACTGGAAAAAAAGTAATTCCCTCAATTTTTTTTTTCTTTAGCTGGCAAAGTTTTGAACAAAACTCCCTGATTCTGCAGACTTATTGACCTACAAGTTTTTTCTTGGTTTTCACGTTTTTTCTACACACCTTACAGTTTAGACTTTCACCCTAACAAATTCTTCAAAAACTTTCCAAAACCCTAACTCTTAACCTTAACTCTGAAAGAGTTAAGGTTGGAAATCAAGCAGTCAAAGATGCAAATTGCACTTAACATATTTAGAATTTATGTATAAGCCCTGAACAGTATTCTAGAAATAACTCAAAACATCGAAGTTGGAAAAAAAGTTGACTTCCTTGTGAGAAAGCCTTCGGCCCACTAGCTAGTTTGGAGGGGTTGTCAAGATCACGGAAGTTATGAGCTTTGCAGTGAGAACAAAAATGGACCACTCTGAAAGATTTGAGAATATTTTGACACTTTGGGGCTGGCATTTTAGCAGAAAACAATCATGCTACAGTCTTCTTCGTTAAAGTTTAGCCCAACTGGCTGAGCAACTGTCTTTTTTTACAAGAATGAACAATGATGGTATTTTCAAATGAGGTAATGGATGAGGAGAAAGAGTAGAACTCATGAAAATCTCTTGGAAACGCTGGTTTTTCTCCTACCTGGATCTTCTGCTCCGACGTCTGTCCGAGTTGCTGTACCGTCCACCACCATAACCTCCGTAGCGGCCGCTGTTGCGGCAATCCCGGGCAAAGTGACCCCGCTCCCCGCAGGTGTAACACTTGTCGTCGTAGCTGGCCGACCGCGGCCCGCTGCGGCCTCCGCGCCGGCTGGTACGTTTTTCCCCGGTCGACATCTCCACGACGGCACGGTGTCCACAGAGCATGCTAACGCGAGAGAACAAACAGCATGAATAAGCACACGCTTAGTACAGTTCAGTGGCAGTAAAATAAAGACGGTGAAATTTGAGGTCACTCGGTTGGCACAAATAGTTCTTAAGTTATCAATTATAAGAGTTCCATATACGGCCATCACTTATTTTCCCTTGCAGTGGTGTGCAAGCCATCAGAAATTTAAGTGATAACACGTCCTAAACGTCAAAGTTAAGCCTGTACCACACGGACGAATTTACTAAGAAAACGCTTCAAATTTCTTGGACCAATCTCATGGCGTTAGTGCAAAGGGTGCCAAGTGATATCCAGGTATGGAACTCTATCCTGTGGCTTGCACAAAGGTTTACATTTAAAATTTTAAATGGGGGGCAGTAGGGGGGTACAGAGATTGGGGAGGGTTCCATATCCATTATACCCAAACATCACTTGACATTCCGTGCATAATTTATGTGAGACTGGTGTAACTGCTTTTCAAGTAAATGCTTCAATATTTTCCCAGCTACATTTTGTCACTATCTGACGGTCGATACATGTACGTCACTAATGGTCACTGCTGGGAACAATCAGCGATGTCCGTGTCCTGAATTCCTTTCTTTAAGATGACCGACTGCAGAAGGCCAGGGAACAGTCGACTTACTGGCCGTCCAGGCCTTTCACAGCATCTTCAGCATCTCTTGAATCTTCATACTCAACGAAAGCAAAGCCAGGCGGGTTCCGGGCCACCCAGACATTCTTGAGGGGCCCGAATTTGACGAAGGCATTCTCCAGCTCCCGTCGGCCGGCTGACTCGCCCAGATTACCCACGTAGACCTTGCAGGCCAGATCCGCTCTCGAGTAGGAACGAGACATGCTGCTAGATTTTTCTGTTCACCACCTAATTTGGAGAAAATTAAACATTTCAGGCCAAAATTAGGCGTATTTCCCAATCAAGGGAACTTGAAAAATGTATTAAAACAAAAGCCAATTAACATGATCAAAATTTATACATTTATGTTAAAGCACTGGATTGGCGTTCCACACTTAACAATAAGCTTGAATAATTATCAAGAGCGAGGAGCTTGCTGTGTCCTGAAATTGAGAAAACTGCGCACCAATAATTCGTATCGCAAACACTGTAGGCCCCTACTGCGTGGGTGATTTGCACAATGGTAGCACTAGAAGAGCATGAAAAAAAGTAGGCCCAGCAAAAATCCTGCGAACCACAAAAGTACCGTTTAAGAAGCCTGAATAACATAAGTTGACCCTAGTACTAGTACTAATAGGCCAAGCCCTACCTTGAAATTGAGCAAAACACTAATTAAACAACATCTCTTAGGCGAAAAAGAGATTCCCACACTATGGCCTAATCCCAGGCCAAAAAAACGTCAGTGTCACGTCAGCATGGGGCCATGATAGGCTACATAGTCAAAAAGCCTCTCAGTCATGACAGTCTTCACCACTTTCAGACTCAAAATATCTACTTAATTTTGCCCATCTTAGACCATACGCAAAATCTATGAGAAATAGATTATTAAGTCACATAATTTTGGGCGTTTTTCTTCGATTCTTTAACGAATTTTCAAGACAATTTTTTTCAGCACTCACCGAACACGCACCTTGTAGAACACCCAATTGCCCACAAGTCCACGGCGCGCGTGCTAGCTCAACATGCACTAAATGTATGGCCAATTCGCGATTCGTCTAAGAATCGACGCGTCACGCACGCACAGTACAAAGAGGACGATGCGATAGGCAAATCAGTACCCACGTGACCACGCTGCGTCCGCGCCGCTCGAGAGATTATGAATAATGCATAATAAGCATACAATTAATGGTATGGCTTTACATTGCTACACGTACTAGTACATGTACACCCCGACGTACCCGTCGACGTATACGGGGGGGAGCTTGCAAGGGGCGGTTACAGCTCTCCCTAAAAAAAAAAGATAAAATAACCCCGGAAGTGAAACCACAGAAAAAAAGGAAAAGAAACGAAGAAAATAAAAGGGGTTGCAAACTCCGAGTTCAGTTTGCTATAAAAATATCCATACTTATCCAGGCCCCTTGTGGCCCGGAAAAAAATCCAGCGACGACTGTACTTATCACAAAAAGAAAACTTCAAAAACTTCACGCACAGAAATCAGTAGATATAAATTTAATTGTCAAACATATAACAATTCAACACTTTATACAATAATTTTAGTTCATACATATTTCATAACGTAAGCCTGCCATTGGATTAATATGCAATTTGTGGAAACTGTTATTACTCGGGCTCGTTCAGCGTTATATCAAGTTGAGGACAATGGAACTTCCACTAAACTATCCAAATGATACCAATTATGAAGGAAAGATTAATGAGGAGACTAAAAGCTAACTCAAATTAGTATACTGACGTCAGATAAGTTCACACTTGAAGATGACATTTATTTCAAGGTGGAGTCATGTACGTACGGCATATCATATTTCACACACACCTTCCAATAGAGGCTTTGCAGAGTGGCAGCCATCTTGCAGGGCAAAGCCTAAACCGCCTTTTGTGCATACACTGTGGTAAAAAAGCAATGGCCTGCAAGATGGCAGCCATGAAAACTCTCTATTCCAGTAGTGGTTCAACTAGCACATGACATAAGAGAAATTTCAACAAAACTCTAAATTCTACTATAGAAATGCTCATAAACTTTACTATATTTGGAACCAAACAGTTACGCTTTGAAATTTTTAAAAATAGAACGAAACATTCAGGTTATATAGAAAGTAAAGAAAAACAAAGCACACAGGAAGAACGATTGTCCATTTTGCAATGACATCATGACAAAACAAAATCTATTTCAGCCTCAGGAATAATTTTGCATTTTTATGTTAGAAACAAAATTATTGAAACTGTACGTTCTTCTGGGTACGAAAAACGTGGCCGCTCCTTTTAAAAAAACATGTAATCAGCTTTTTGTCAGTGGTACATTGTACTGTTATAGTTGTAATGTAACAGTAGCTGGGCTTTACCTTCCTCAATCCTACAAAATCCTCCACTGTGAGGGAAACCAATGGCACATTCTTTGTACTTCAACCTTTCAAGAGGCAAAAAGATAAGTGTAAAGTAACAGTGGCTGGGCTATAGATCTACCTCCTAAATCCATCAAAANTCTTTAAAAAACCTCCTTCTGGATTTTGAAGTATGTTAGGTGGTCGTGGTTAAACATCCTCCACGCCTCTTGTGTCACGAGGCCCCGCCCTCCAGTTTACTTCCACCAATCGGAAAGCTCTCAGGAGCATTGCAAACTGTATCAACAGCGCCCTCAAAATGTCAATCAACGGTCCGAAAATCGTCTTCAGCGCCATGCCGACATTGTACAAAAACACAGCCAGAGGTTGAAGAATGCTGTTGAACATCGCGGCCAGGACGGGCTTGAAGAAATAGTCACCAAATGTCGTCAGAAGGCCGACAAAGAGCAATCCAAAGACGTTGTAAGCGAGGAAACGGAGAAGTTCCAGGACCAGGATGAGGAGGAAGTCCACGAAGATGCGCAGAGCCGCAAAGACCTCCTGCACGCCTCGCCTGACAAGCTTCTCTGATCTTCAAGCAAAAAAAAGGCAGCAAAATCAGGGATAAAAACTTCAGGCTAAAACCCAGACAAGCATTTTTCCCATGAAAAGATTTTGTGGTGAAAGACATTTAATCAGTGATATTGATATTTCCGAGGCAGAGCCATGGTTTGAGGCAAGTGATCCCCCCCTTTCCCTGTCCCTTTCCCCTCCCCCTCCTTCCTTATCCTCATCGGTGAAGCCCACAACCTTTTTTTTTAGTTTATTTTTTCTTCATTTAAGTGGGGGAAAGTCCTACTTAAAAATTGTTTTTCCGAGGGGCCTTAGGAGAGAAGGCGTGGAAGATATGGTCAGTTTTTGAGCTGGAAGGAAAACACCCGACATACAATCTGGGCTGGAAACCTACAGACTTAGGTAAGGATTGAGCACCCAATCCACAAGTTGGCCTGGGTGGGATTCGAACCCAGGCCACAGAGGTGAAAAGCTTGGGAAAGCACCACTGACCAACCTGACTTCCCCGAACAGCAACCGGAGACTTTGCGACAATTGGTGGCGGCAAACATACTGATCCTTTTTACCATTTCTGAGAATGAGCACTTTGTTCTGAGCCTGCGTGCCTAGTTCTCAGTATGCCCAATACTGTGATAAATGACCAGTACGACTGATGTCACCGACGTCTAAAAGTCCCCCATTGGTATTGAAAACCCCAAACTAAATCATGAAATGCTATATCTGCTCTTCCCAGCATAGAAGAGGGAGGTTGGTGTGGAAATAGTGCCCTCTATTGCTCATGCACAGACACAATATATTTATTGACAGTAATTCAAAGGCAGTTCAGGAGACTTACTTATCAGCAATACCCGTCATGTAGACATCATTTCTTCCTGACCGCGTATCGTAGAATCTCGTGTCTCCATGCTGATAGTGGTAAATATATCTGAGTAGAGCAAGAAACCTTTCATGAGCCAAAATATTTAGGCTGAAGCTTTTTTTTTGTTATTTAAGAACCACCGTAGATTCTGAAGAGTATGCACATACCTAGTCGTTAGATAATTTTAGCTAACTTTTGATCTTTTTGGTTCTTTGTCTGCACATTTTGTTGGCCAAACTGAAAAGTCAGAAACTTTCTGTCAATCAAGTTCAATCCTTTAAATTTATATAGAAGCCTTCCCAAATCCCAAGAATTCTGCCACTGTGCAATAACACCTTCATTGGTACAACAGACATTGCAGTCTAGTCCACCACAAATCCTGCAAGACCCATCACAAGTCCTCCAGTCTGAAGCCAACTCACAAGCGATTTGAATGAACTGTGACAAAAGTATTCCTTCGTCACTGGTCCTCAGTTATTGTGACTGGTCTTGTGACTGGTCTTGAGACTGGTCTTGTGACTGGTCTTGTGACTGGTCTTGCGACTCATCTTGTGACAACAAATGAAGGGAATGTGAATTTTGTACAAAGTGTAGTCCGTATAGCACCCTTAACATTTTCAAGCACCTGTTTATTTTCATTAAGATGTGGAACTGCAAGATACAACAAAATTGAGACCTTGGATCGCTCTTTCCAATGCAAAGCCTATAATAAAATGACTAAAAACACAAATGCCCGGAAGACTTGTTTTGTTGGAGCTGGTCACATGTTGCACCAGGATATTTTAGCAGCCTCAATTTTGATCAGGAAAAGTATCGTCAAGCCTTCCAACAAACCTGTGGGTGTTTTCTTCAACTAGTAAATGCGATGTCTGTATCACTGAGTCATTATAACTGCCGAGGTCTGCCACGTCCTTATTTCCAAACCTTCCCACGATGCCCCCTTCCGTCTTCGGAAGCGGCACGTCAGACGCTGTTGTCGTCATCAAGGTTGTCAACGTGGCATCTCTCGGCGAGGACTCCCTGAGATTGTCGTTGCCTGTCGTCGTTTCGGGATTTCGGGCGTCGTCATCCTGAAATCCCAAATTGACTTTCCATTTGTTCGGTCCGGTTCTACTGTCGGGAGTGTCCATGGTAAGTTGCTTTTGGTCTGCATTAGCAAGTCCAAACCAAACAGATGATTACTCTGCTAGATTACTTCCCAAAACAGACACACTTGCATAGAACTTTGCAACTTTGCAACTTCAATTTCATTGCTACAGCTTTGCAAATTCAAGTTTAAGCATGATGATGACCTTACGTTCCTAAGATGTAACTTTTCTAAACTCCTAAAGAACAGTCCTTCTTTGGCAAGAAAAGCTGACCAACAAAACTATTTTGGATCAACTCTGTAAATTTTGATTTGAAAGCGAGGATTTTCTCATAGAGCCTTCACTTTAAAGTCCAGACAGCATACTAAATCTTCATGGTACAGAACAACTATATTTTTCTTTAACCAGTTGGTGACCGAAGATTCATGAATATTTGGAGATTATTCTCAAAGCGGATAGTTTCAGAGGGGAAAAGATTTTGTTGTATGTGTTGTATGCGGATACAGGCACCCTGGTGCCCCAGCGGGATTCGAACCAACTTCACAGCTGAACCTGAATTTGTTCAAACAAATTGAATACAATATGAGCCTTGGTATGGTTCAAATCCAACTCTGTTCACCCAAAAATGCCTTCCACAACACCGTAACAATTTACCTGATCTTGGGGTGTGGCCAGTCGGAGGCGTTGGGTCATACAATTTACCCTTTCTGCTCTTCCCAGGTCTATCGGACTGGCGATCTTCATTAGTTGGAGTTATTGTATCTGAAAAAGTTAAGAAATATGCTCATCTATCACTTTGGGAAGATTAAATAAAATAAAATTGACCTATTCCTAAAATTGGAAAAGTGTGATTTTTTAAGGATGGATTTTGCTCTTCGCTGGGTCATTTTTTTACCAGCATTGTGTACTCATGCTGTCCAAGAGATTGTCACAAAAAGCCTGCTTTGGTGGGATTCGAACCCACAACTTCCTGCTTACCAGTGCAGGTATTGAGGAAAACAACATTTTGGGAGTTCGTTCAGAAAGTGCCATCAAAACATGCTCTTTGAAATGTTCTGTTCCTGAGATAGCCAATATGTCCACTACAAAATCATTCCTGTCAGTGATTGAAGTTAACAAATCAGTCGAAAGTTGCCAGTGTCACTTTTTGAGCCCTTTAAGAGTAAAAGAATCTTGCACTCAGGAAAATGACAGGAGCCCTCAATATTTTTTTTTGCCCACAGAATGTCTGTTTTTCCTCGGGGGGATACATTAGATGCTAAAGGTCAGTTTGCTCTTCTGAATAAAAAATCAAAAGGCATTACTGACTATGTGGTTTTCATAGCATCTGTTCCTCTTTAAGAATTGTCCAAGATCCACCAATCTGTTTTTTGGCGCTCCTTCGCACACAGACCTGCCAACACACCGCACTCCTTCCTGAGGTCAGGCATCGACACACAATAGACTGAAAATTTAAATGAACAGAAGGCTCATTTAAATCCCTTTTAATCTACTGTGTGGTAATGCCTGACCTCAGGAAGGAGTGACGGCAAGGTGGGCAGGTCTGCACATACCATCCAGGGCCTTCCTGAAATCGTAGGGAGGGGGTTCTTCCTTTTGCAGCGCTGACTTCTTGCTGGCGACTGAGACATCATCGTCTGATGAATCCCCCGTGCCGTGGTCAATGAACACATTCACCCCCGCCTTTGAAACCTTTCCACTGGGGATTAAACAAATATTTCATTAAACATAAGGCAATTAGCTTATTGTTTTTTGTAAGTCAGCCGCACTATTTAGACAACCGTATGGAATTTTGTACATTAAGTTTTCCTTGTCGCAGATTTTGCGCATCCCTTGTGCCGTTAGCATATCATGGTTGCCCATGATAAAGGACCACTAGTTAACTAGTAGTTGGTTTGTGACGTATGTACCTAACGCACGTGCAGTGAAGTTGAAGTGTGAATGGCTTTAGTCGGGTCAGTAGGCCCCAGGGGAGAAAAGGTGCGGCAAATAGCAAAAATAAAAACGAAAATGGTCGTTTATAGTGACATAATGTTTTTACAGAATTTTTCTTATAACTGGTCCTCCTACACTGTGCAATTAAAAATGGTTTATGGCAACTAACAGCGTGACCAGCCTATAAAGGAAGTTGACTAGACTAGTCCAACCATCGTCAACCAACCTGCGTTCAATCAGACTACGCCGAACTATGGTTAACTATGGTCCTTGATAGAACTTGCCAAATGTAATTCCACAAAACTTCACAAGCAGTGCTGATGTGATTCTACAGCGACGGGTCACTTAAAGTTTCAACTGAGGCAGACTTTGTTGAACTGGAGGGGGACGGATGATTCATTATTAGTTGATTTGATCATGCTGTGTCCATGGGCAAGCCACTTTGCCCCAATTACTTCCTCTCTCCATGCAGGAGTGCAAGTGGATTCCAGCACTGGCTGGGGAGTAACCTCCAAATGGACTGGCATCCCCTCCTGAAGAACGGAAGCCTTTTCAGATGCTTCCTGTCACAAAAACTGTGAAACAATGCCAACCTGACGGGCCATATTCGGAGTTTGACAGATCATTTCTTCTTGACAGGAATGCTGTTATCAATTTATTAGAGGTGGGGGCTTGCAAGTCACCTCATGCAGAAGCACCCCCTCATCGGTTAAAAAGAGCCACATTGGTCAGGTAATAATCATTTTGTTGGTAGTGACGAGACTGCGACACGTGCATCTCGTAGTCATTCTTGAGCCAGCGAAGTTCACTTCCGATCCAAAAAGCCTCCCTTGCTGAGAAACTAGAACCCTCTGTCGGTACAGCTCGAGGCCCATAAGTAGGGCCCCTTTGGGCCTTGGGGGGAAGGGGTCCTTTTGACAGCTCACCTTCTGATGCTTGAAACGGGTGAGGACTTGTTGGACAACTGGCCTCCGTTCACAGCAAGTCGATTGGACGACGCCGGTTTATGGGGCTGGAACTGTGGTCTGGATACTTTGCTGTCCCGTTTAGGTCCTGGGGAGCAGATGTTATAAAGCTGATAAAAAGAATTCCGATGTGCATTTCCAAGCAGTGAAAGTGCTATGCAACCTTTTAAGTAAAACACAGATAGCCATGCAACCCAAACGCAACATATAAATCAAAAGAAAAACAGGAAAGTATTGCCATCTTATCCAAAATGTCAATCAGCAATCGTTGCCCATGACGAATGAAATCTGATTTAGCCTATCATGTACCAGGCTATTTGTTTTAAAATTCCCTGTGAAAAAGCCTACTTTACCGTTCTGAGAATTTTTGCTAAAACAATTTGAACAGAAAGTTGTGGGTACCCCGTTCAACAACGGGAATAAATTGTACAAATATAAAAACGGTAGATTAAATGATAAATAATGCAATTGCTGATAAACAAAAGCTTCAATATTAACTTTGCCAGTAAGTGGTTTAGAATTTTAATTTTGAAACCTCAAACTTGGCTGATGAAGCATTGACTCATCTGCCCCCTTTGAACACTTTGAAAGTATTCCTTAGTTACAGGCTGAAGTTTCCCTGACTTTTCAAAGTTTTCTCCTGCGTGTTTTTGCGGCCTGGTCGACCGGACCGGTCTCGGTCTGGGGGTCATGAGACATACCCTGTGGAGGGTGGATCTTATCCCTGCCCCTGCCGCGACTGGACGCTGCGCTGATAACCTCGTCTTCTGCCGAGCTCACGTTGGGCAGGGTGTCCTCTGGCTCGGAGCTGTCCCAGTTGCTCTCTGATTCCGGGGATCGGGCCCGGCTGTTCCGTTTCTGCTGGGCTGCAATCTAGCATCAGGGAATTATGGGAGATCTATTGGCCATGTGCGTGAACTCTTGAGGGTAGCAGTCTCAGCTAGATAAGCCTTTTTCATGTTTCACGTGCACAAGCTTAAAAGATTCAACAGAGGGGAACAAATTCATGACAAAAAATAATCCTTGCTGTTGGTGATAGTAAATCTGACGTTGTTTAGCCATGTTTAGCTGCTGCTTCAGAATATGAACTAATACACAGCTCTCATATTTCATTTGGGACTGTCAGAAATGTGAAAATAAAAGAGGCCTAGCTCAATTTTGAACTCGTTGTTATGGACGCGTAAGACTGCTCCCTGGGTGTATTTTCATGCCCTTGATGCACAATGTACTGGGACACCAGACCTGCAATAATCTTTGATATTTACCAAAACATGATAAATTTAGTCCAAAAAGAACTCTAACTTTGTCAATTTCATTCCTAAATTACATTTCATTAAACCTTGTTTGAATAATCATTTGATTTCATATTCCCTGCCAAAATACGTTCAAAATAGGGTTCTAAACTTACGATCTTCGCAGCATTCAACTTTATATCGTCCATTTTACAGCCGTCTACAGGGTTATGAATATTCATATTTATTTACAAATTTATCAAAATTGCTTGAATAATTATGTTCGGATTGAAATCGAGTTTGCTTTCCTTTATTCAATATGTAGAGATCTCGTTACCAGATCTGTGGTTTTTAAAAAATCATGACTTAAAAAATAAAGTAGTTTTTTTACATTACTTTGTGAATTATTAAAGATAACTTATTCAAACGTGCTACCCAAGTTTCATTGAACTTTGACCTTGTCTTCCACACCTCTACAAAAATGGGCTTGGAGGAGACATTGGTGAGCCAAAATTCCGATCATTTTTTATGATTTGGGGAAAAAAATGTGTGGTCATTCGATTTAATGTGAAACATGATGTTCTTTGTGGTAAAATGCTCAGTTATTCTGAGCTTCTTTGCGCTGTGAATTCGTGTAAATAGAGGTAAAAAAATATTGTTTGTCTCTGGTCCTGGCGCAATCAGATCAGGCCATGTCTGGAGAAATGAACGCACACACATGCGTGATGCGACAATGCGTATGTACGTACGTGTGCCTACCTGCATTGTTATATCACAGCTTGAGAAAACAAAGTTCTGTTTTACTACTTCTGGCAAAAAACTGCATCGTGGAATCTAAACCTGTGGACTTTGCTGAGTACAATTAACTCTTAATATTTCAGAATACTGTTAGAAACAATGAATTTGCAAATCCCAATTTCTTGAAAGGGGGGGGGAGTGTTTTTCCACTCTCTCAATAACAAAGTCCTGGTTATATTACAAAATAATTTGTGTAGTTCCTGCAAGTTGCAACTTTGTTTAAACAAGAGTTGACTACAACCTGGCATGCCTGGGCTTGAGATATTCCATGCCATATGACCTAAAACATGAGGCTCTAAGCGAACAGAAATCTTTGGTTGTTCGCACAGTCTGTACCAAGAGTTTTACTAATATTGTAACACTACTTTATAACAAAATAAAATATAGAAATCAATTATCTAGGGGAAGAGTTCCACATACAGACTCCAATTATTTCCTACAGTGTCTTATTAGCCGTCAGAAGGCAAAAACATGTCCAGAAAGTTCGATTTAGGAGGGAAAAACCAAGTCGTTTACAAAGAAAAACAGAATCTGTCAGATCAGTCTCTCGGGGTTTGTGCACAGGCTGTCAAGTGGCATTTATGGAACTCCTTCCTTACTTTGCATTAACTGCTTTATATTGTAATGGCTAACATGTAGGTGGTGCTCTAAGATTCTTATTTCTGTGATGTAATTTTCTAACACTTTGTGAAATTTTAAATGTGTCCTTAAAATTTCCAAAAAAAATTAGCTGTTTTTCCACCAAAAAGTAGAATCCCTGAGTATTTTGCGCTTGAAGGCTGAAATCCGCACCGCTTCATAAAAAAGCTTGTGCCAAAGATACGTACATGTACATCAGGAAGATCAATCAATTACGAGGCCAAGTGACAAAAACCATTTTTTTTTGCTCATTCCTGCTTGCTTTCCTTTTTCCAGCATGCCATATTTTTTAAGATGTCCTTTTTTGTTACATGTTCAACATGATTTGGACAGTTTCTGACAAGATGTCCACTTATTAATACATGCACGTACATATTTATGGGTAATTCCAAAAATTAGGGGTCCAAAAGTGTGACATTATCATGCCCATGTTACATCTGACCTGTGTTATTTGACATGGAAATATAACCGGAATTCATTTCAAACTATTATTGTTTGTTTGGCAGGTAAGTTGCATTAATTCATCACTCTTGGAAATTACAAAATATGTTCTGAACTTACATCATACGTGTATCATGTTAGTTGTGACAGAGACACACAAAAAAATGGACCCTAATTTCTGGAATTACCCTTAATTAAAACTTGTTAAATTTGAAAAACAGGTTCAGAAACAAAAGTAAATTACACATGTATATGACCAAAAGAGTTCAGAAAGTCCAGTGGCCATCTTGAAAAGAAAACAGAATACATTGAGAAATTAAGGCCGTCTCCGGTAGACAAAATCTCTAGCAGGAAGTTTTCTTTGATAGCCTGAAATAATTTGACTGTTTAAGAAAAAGTAATGTCACGCTTTTTTCCCCCTCTATAACCTCTTGCTGCACGCATCCACCATGCCTCCACTGGCCACCATCATTAATTCCATTTTGACCGCGCCAAATTTGACGTCGGCACAGAAGGTAAGACCCTGGATGCATTACGCAAAAAAAAACGTTCTGCCTTCAGTTTTCCGACCGGCTGTATTTTGACGGCCCAACCCATGAGTTCTTAGGGAAAAATTTGAGGAAAATATGAAATCGGATGGAAACCAAGTAAAAATATGTCTCATAGTAGTCCCTGTTTGAAGTTTGAATGTAGTGTATGCAGATTCAATGGACTATGTATTCATGCACAAAATTGTTACCTTTTAAATTAAGTGTTGTTCTCTTTAGAAACAAATTTATTTCAGCCCAACTTCTGTTGTTGCACAGTCGCACACTGAATCAGTATTTTTTTTAAAAAGTGCTAAATATTCACCGCGTTCAGATGCCGTAAAATTGGAAGCAGAACTTTTTTTAGCCTTTGCATGTGTACACACTGCCTAGCTACACATATTTTTGAAACCTTGGGGTGTCTCTGGCTGCGGCATCAGAATCACTGGACCCAGAATTCCGACCGAGACTCCACATGCGTTTTTTGGCCTCATGCGATCAATACGAAGATCGTCTTGTGAAAAAATAGTCCCTTCTTGGGCAAAGGTGTGCTGTGCTGGGCTTTAAACCCACTGCTTGAGATGAAGCCAGGATTTCAGAAAATGGAAGATAGTTATCGCAATCACCGCTACAGCCTTTGCTTGTCCCCGCTGAAGTCTTTTCTGTTGTAGTTATTACAACACATTCTGGTGGCAGCTCTGTGAATTCCCTCTGGCTACATGCCCACGATCATCTGCTTTCTAAAATCAGATGTCCTTTAACCACGCAACAAGTGTTTACACAGGGCTGATTTCGCCCACCCGCACTCTTAAATTTCTCCCAGTGTGATAGGAAACAAATATTTTTTTTTGGTTTGGCCTAAATCGATGTCAACCAATGAGCTTCAAAGTTCTATTTGTAGAGCAGCCAATCATTAATCAGAGTGGCCTGGCCGAGATTGATCACTACCGGAAAGAGAATCAGAGGTCCTGTGTTTCTGGTCCGCTTGGAATCAGTGAGTGATACGGCCAATCCGACATGCCAGGATTCTTACAACCTGCATTAGTTAGTGGACACATACTCAGAACTACACACAAGTAGCCTCATTTTCTCTTGGCCGTGTCATTTCTGCTGGCGGGCTGCCCTTTTAAAGTCTGGTTCAAACAGTTGCTGGCAGCTTGGGCTATAGATGTTGTGCATATTCATCTTTTACTGTGGTTGCAACCATCAAAATGGGTAATTCCTTTTTCGAAAATGTAAGTACATATGTAGCTGTCCATGCACACCTTAATAGCGGACTATACTGGTTGAATTGTCACTCCAAAATCACCAGTTCTCAGCAGAAGAGATTATATTCCTAGATGTTACCTCAGACTTTATCGCAGCACCAATCACATATTTGTAGGATTGAGATGTAAGTTCTAATTCACATATCTGGTAATCTTCGGATTGGTTCTGCATTGCAGTTTGGTGTGCCGGTGTTGGTGGGCGTTGGCGTCCTTGCGGCCACCGTCATTATCGGGAGATACGTCCTGGGCGGCAAGCGCAAGTCACCCAGCCCACTGAAAGCCCTTAAAGATCCCGAGACGAAGTACCCATTTGAACTGGTGGACAAAGAGGTGAGAAATCGTTCTAGGTTTTTGGTTTGTTAGTTTTTCTTGAAAACACTCGTACGATATGTCGTCGTCATCGTCGTTGTTGTTGTTTTTGTTTTGATTTTATTTGTTGTCATCAAATGCTTTCTATGTCTATATTTGACATGTGGGAGGATGTCCCAAGTTCAGACTCGTACCGCGGTGTCATGTGCTCTTTTTGTAGGGCTGTGCCAAATATCCGAATACTTGATGGATTATCGAATATTATTTTCAAAAATGAATATATTCAAATGCAAAATTCTTGAAAGGAAGGGAGAGATGGAGTCTTGTTTCTTGCGGATTCTAATGAAAAGCTATGGATATCTTACAACGATTCTAACAGTAAGTAAAAAAATGAAAGGAATAGAAATTTTAAACAGAGCTAGAAGTATTGTTCGTCTCTTAAACCTTGCTAAGTCATGGCCGGAGATACTCCTAGACTTGACGAGCCGTTATCACAATTATAGTGATTTTAATGTACAATTGTGTCCATTATTGCAACTGATTTTGTATATGGTTTAATCATCAACGATCTGCCGGTCGGTACGACTGAATATTGGGATATCGAATCGCAGGTCAACTTTTCGAATAGTGAATTATTTGAATTGAGTCGGCCCTGCGTTGTAGAGTATACATGTGCCTGTATAGTTCCATTCGTATACTTGAAGATATGTACTTGACTACCATCATATTTTAGTACTCGCTATGGTAATTAAACTTGCACATATGCACTTGACTTGAGTCCTTTTTTCCGTTACTCAAAGTGGAGTGGGTGACCTAGAGGTTAAGAGCATCAGATTTGTAGTCGGTGGGTAGAGCCGCGGGTTGCAGGTTCGAATCCAGCCAGGGGCCATGGTGCATGTGCCCTTGGGCAAGGCGTTATGTCACTCATTGCCTCTCTCTCCACCCAGGAGTAATTAATTGGGTACCCTGCGAGGGCAGAGATGGTTATTGTGGTTGATTTAGCTGCGTTGCGCCGAAAAGGGAAGCATCGAGCTGTATACTCCCCAGGGAGCTGAGATGGTATTTGGAATGTTTCATGGGCCCAGTGAACAGGGGTAGTAATGATGTATAGCGCTTTGATCTAAGTTAGTTCAAGGCACTATGTAAAAACTGTAAATAGTATTACTGTTATTATTACATGTATATCATATTTAAATTAAACTTGTAGTTGAGTCCTTCTTTTCCCTTACTCATATGGGCACATGTACAAATGTATTCAACTACATGTACATGTACGTGTATGGTTCAGCACCATCAATGCTGCATCATCAACGGGGTGAGATTTCTCAGCTTTTTAGCTGATTTCAGCTTCTTTTGTTTTGGATTTCAGTTTTTTTTCCTCACTGGCTGTGTACAAAAGTAGAGGAGATTTTCACAGTTCAGTTTAGCTGTATGCCTTTTTTCAGCTATTTTTATCATTGGTCAATTTCACCACGGCGTACAATTGCTACTGGGGGATGGAGATATAGTTGGAGATTTTTTTTTGGTCCGATTCTTTACCAACCATATTTAGTGGTCTTTTTTTTAAACATTTGTCTGAGATTTATCTCTATGCTATTTTCGACACTCTTGATAGAGACGTGTCACACGATGCTGTTAGTTCTACTGTCTAAAAATAGGCTTCTTATCAAGTTTGGGTTGCATATTTAGACCCACGTGTGCTTTGAGTGAATATTTCTAAGTGCCCCTGATAACGGAAGAAGTTCAAAAAGATAGCGGTTTTACACTGCATGCGTTAAGCATGGCATGTACATGTATAGACCACAGTACATGTACTTACATGGACAGGTGTATGTGTATACATGTACATTGCATTGTACATTACAAGTATTGGTGCTTTGTCATGTGTGGATTCTCTTGGAAGTTGTAGGAAGTCTCCAAGGGCAGATTCCGGGGGCAGAGGGTGGTTGAGGAGGAGAGCAAGAGGGGCCATACCTCCCCCCCCCCAAAAAAAAGGACATCTTGTTTTTTGGCTTTTGGAAATAATAGAGAAAAGTGTATTTTTTTTATTGATTCATTTTTCTTTGTGGAGTGCGTGAGAAGTTCCAAACTAGAGCCTCAACCAACATAAAGGCCATTAAAGGTTGCCTGATGAAATGCCACATTTTTGGTTGCCTCAAACGATTTTCAGGCCTGCCAAAAATGTGCAGTGTGTTAAAATTAATGAGGACCCACAGCCTGGAAATGTCGTTTCTCGTCAAGCTGTCTGACACATCAAAACAAAAAGCGCCGTTTGCTCTTTCTAGTACAAACTGAAACCAAATGACTGGAAGAAAACTGAGCTTGAGGATGTTTTGGGAGGGATCCAGTCTCATTTCTTAAATTCTCCTCATCTTTTCCGTGCATAGTCAGCAGGTACAGGCACATGTAGTCTGTTACCTTGATTGTTTCATCCTTTCATCGTTCAGATTGTGAGTCATGACACCAGACGCTTCCGCTTTGCCCTGCCATCCAAAGACCACATCCTGGGCCTGCCAGTTGGTGAGTAATGATTGGTCATATGCTCAGCGCATGAACTCATGAGGGCGCTCTGCTGCCAAGTTTGATCAGTTTCTTTTTGCTGAGCATGAGTGGATTTTCCCTTGTAACATCCGCGCCATTTCAAGCTGCAGCAGAGCCTAACATTGAAAATTCCCCGCCCCTTAAGAAAATCAATCCTTTCATCGTCTTCTATATTCACCGGCGGGACATGCTCAGTTACATGTTTGACAGCTTTTTTTTCCCGATTACGGTTGCTGTTAATAGCCCAAACCCGGTAGTTGTTACATGTACATGCATGTCTGGGATCCTTTCGGTATCAGCCAGAATTCAACACTGTAGATACATGTAACGAAAGGCAAATGATTTGCACTTAGACATAACCAGGGCAGCAATTCCTGTGCAAAGCAATGCCTAAATGGTACTTATAGGCTGCTTTATTTTCCTGTAGACTTGGCAGTTTGTCCAGTACCTTTGAACACCGATCAAGACATTACCAAGTTCTCTCAGAGGATTATTCACCCCACCCCCGAATCGTCAATAACCCGAACAAGTCTCAACTCGTCAAATGCATTTGCAATTAGCTGATGCATTGCCAAACTCTTTCCTCTGCTCTGTTGTACCTGGCTGTAAAAAGCTGCTCTGTTGACTTTGATGTCAGCAACTTACTTAACCGTCCTCATGGAATGCCCTGGGAATTGTGATAAACAACTTACTGTATTGCATGCCAAAGCTTCAGTGAAGAATCGCTTGTGGTGGCCTGCGAGCCTGTAATTATGAGGCAGAAGTATCCTGGTTGTTTGTCTTTCTCTTCAAGCGGAGCCTGGTATTTCATCACCGTCCAGGGCATCCGGATTCAGCCAAGGGCTCAAATCTCAGCGCCACACCAGATTGTCAGCATTTTTCTCAAAAACCTAATCTAAAAGTGGTATATTCTCCACAGGATGAGTTGTCAAGTAACTAACGGGTTCTTTTTGCTCACGTAAAGTGGCACTGACTTCATGAAAAATAATGAAAAGCTTTACCCAAGATGGTATCTTTGTATATGTACGACTCTTACTTGTAAATATTGAAGTTTTGTTTGCATTTTTAAATCTAAAAGCCCCAAATACAGCATTACGGCACCTTTCCGTATGTTTGCTTTTGGGTGTGTTGCATACATGATGCGTTCATGCGTTTCACTTTTTACGAACACAAAAATTGACTCCATTAACATAGCGCACGTGTGCATTGCATTCGGCCTTCAAAATTGTCCGGGGAGCAATTTTGACGGATACATAATGCTTGGCACAAGTGTTGACGCGCATATGGAAAGGCGCCTTTAAGGAGAGCAGAATCAGATTCCAGTTGATGAGAAGCCTTTCTCTTGAGCTGTTTATTTGTCATTTTTGTTGAATTAAGGCCAGCACATCTATTTGACATGTCGCATCGATGGCAAGTTGGTCATCCGACCCTACACCCCTGTCTCCAGCGACGAGGACAAGGGCTTCATGGATCTTGTCATCAAGGTAAAGCTAGCTGTCACCGTTCTTGGCCCTGTTCACTGTTCAGCGGAGATTTGCCGCATAGCAGGATTTTCAACCTAGCCGGAATCGGCTGGGACCCAGTGACAAGCTTCATTCATATTTAACCAATTCAGTCTGTGAAAGACAGTTAGCTACATGTACATACGCCTACTTGCAATCTCAGTGATAAGATGGTGGCTTTGGAAGTAGAACGTTGTATGCCTAGCAGTGTCATCCCATCAGAAACGTGCTAGGTGGTAAAAAACTTGCTTGGGCATGTTGGGTAACAAGCCAAACTTTCATGCATTAAATGTATGATGAAGATGTGTTACATTCAACAAGGGGCAAGCTCTTGCATTATGAGGCGGTGAAACTTATTTAAAATCTGCATAGTTCCTGCTTTCTGGAGCATGACGCTTTGCAAACCGGGCAGGGCACTCCATTCCAGCAACAGTAGTATGTGGCAACATCATCCCACTTCTGCCACCACTAGAAGTATGCAGTCTCAGAAACAACCACAATCTCATCATTCCTTTCTCAACTCCCCCCCCCAGGTGTACTTCAAGAACGTACACCCAAAGTTCCCCGAGGGAGGTAAGATGTCGCAGTACCTAGACAACATGGCTATCGGTGATGCCATCGATGTCCGTGGTCCCAACGGACTGCTAGTGTACGACGGATGTGGTGAGTACATGTACATGTAGCTCTGATGCATGTTTTTTGTATCGTCCCAATTAAGTTTGGAGTTATCACTTGTCTTTGAATTATGTTTAGAGTTAGCCCATCGTGAGGCTTGATTGGATGTAGCATTGTGTTTAAGCACGTTTTCCACCAACCGGTCCGTTAAGAAGTCTAAGTGTCACTTTACCGTTCGGTTTTTCCCCGAAATTAACCACCTTAATACCGTAGGCAGGCATTTGGTTAAGCAACTGTACACTGTAGACATAACACTGAGGTTCATATTTCATTTAACATTTAGCACTGATTCTTTACCCAATGGCATAGCGGTCACCATTTGTACAGCACATTTTGTCTCATACTTATTTATAAACATTTGAAGGCTCGCCTTCTGTGTAAAGTTTGTGCGTGGTGCTGCAGTCTTTGGGCGGAAGTATGTTGGATCACGTGTTGGTGAGAGCACCCTGATCACCCTAGGTTGAAGTGCGCCCCCAACGGCAAAGGAGAGACAGGCTAGTGGGAAGTTCTTCAACTGAGTTCATGCACACGCTCAGCGCACACGTGAAGACCATATGGTCCGACATAAATTGGTTGCGTGCACTCACCACGCTTTGCGACAAACGTGCATATACCTGTGCGTTCACGTGCCCATTTCCCACCAGAGGATCGTCGTGTCCATGTGAAAAGCGCCCTCTCATGTTACCGCTCAGAGCAGATAGGGTGTTGTGACTCGCTGCAAGGGCACTTGGACACCTATTTGAGAACGCGTGCGACATGCGCATGAATGTCGAACCATCACTGTAATGACGTCTACTCAGATTTATCTGAGAATACAGAGTGGATAATACGTCGGTGTAAGGGCAGAACCTAACATGAAGTCAGATTCCCTGACTCCCAACCAAATAAATATCACTGACTACTTGTGGTACCTGCTGCCGTGTTGGATTCGAGCCAGCTACCGATCCCAGCAAGCTCGATGGTGGGCTGGTTAAGACGTCTGCACTGGTAGGCAAGAAGTAATGAGTTCAAATCCCAGCCCACTCATATGTTTGCAAATCTCAGACAATTCTGAGAATCAAGTGCGAATAACGTCAGTGTGAGGGCAAAACCTGGTATGAGATTAATGTCATCAATCTACAGTTATTGAGAAAACCAACCAAGGTAACAACCACTTTTCTTGTAAACTAAGAGTTGATATAAAGACTGTTGATCGCTGTTGAGCAAGTTTGATCACAGTTTAGGGTGTTTTTGATGTATTCATTCTAGGAAAGTTCAGCATCAGAGCAGACAAGAAATCTCCACCCGAGACAAGGAATGCTAAGAAGATTGGCATGATCGCTGGCGGAACAGGTGAGGAGATGAGGGCGCCCCCTAGTGACGAGAAAGCAAAACTGCCACAGCTGCACCCTGAAAACTCATTCATATTTCCCTCGTAACATTTGTAATGACTAATGCTGTGGTTGTGCTAAAAGTATGGAGTGCAGAATGGATGCAAAATATCAGTTTCTGTTTTAAGTGGAGATCAAAATTGTTTTTTTTTTGCATTTGCAGGCATCACTCCGATGCTGCAGTTGGCCCGTCAAGTCTTGAAGGATCCTGCTGATAAGAGCCAGCTCTGGCTGCTGTTTGCCAACCAGGTGATAAAGCTGGGCACCAGTGCTAGTTTCTGTCAAACCTAATCCACTTAATTGAATGCATGCACAAAATGTGGTCCCTGACAGTAGCTCATATTGGCTCATTTGGTCATGGTACCCAAATTATGTATCATTTATGCTGAGTTACGTTAAAATCTAAAATTGAAAACATTCAATCAGATTTATGGACAATACTAAATTATCCAATCCAATTTCTGGATAACTGTGCATCATCCAGTCAAATTTCTGGTCAATAATGCATCATCCAATCAGATTTCTGGCCAACAACGCATCGTCCAATCAGACTTCTGGCCATTAATGCATCATCCAATCAGATTTCTTGCCAACAGTGCATCATCCAATCAGATTTCTTGCCAACAGTGCATCATCCAATCAGATTTCTTGCCAACAGTGCATCATCCAATCAGATTTGCAGCTGATGATACGTCATCCAAACAGATTTTGGCCAGTAATACACCATCCAATCAGAAACCTGGTCACAAGTAACTAGATGGCAGATCATCTTGTGACGTGACATGACGTGATTGGATGAGCTGATAGTGGCATCACTCAGGCGTGTCCTGTTGTGGTCAAAAGTTTACCTACACTTGAACTGAAAGAGTCCAAGTCAAATCTTTCTGATTTTGCCGATTCTTGACCATAACTCGTTTTCTGCAGCCGATCAGCCTGGACATCTTATTTGCTTACATGAACTTGTAAATCATTTATTAAAGTAGAGTAGATTGCCTGATTGATTGGATATAAAAATGGCTCTTTATTAGAAATAAAGGCTTAAAATATTCCACTTGAAGACTTGAAGTGTACTGTATGTAAACTTTCCTCTGCCACTGCTTGCTGGGAGTCTGTGATGACCAATGAGATGTTTGTATTGGTCACTTTGGACAGACGGAGAAGGACATTCTCCTGCGGCCAGAGTTAGAAGAGATTAGTCAGGAGCACGGTGACCGCTTCAAGCTGTGGTACACACTGGACCGGCCGGAGGAAGGTGAGGTCCCACACAGTGGGATTTGTGACTGGCTGCGGCTACCTGTAACATGCGGGTCTATGCGAAGTGAACATTGCTGCTACCTCGTGGCTTCCATTGATGCGTGTGAATTTTAGCCGCAGCCATAAATTCTCAGACACCTCCTGAGATTAGACCAGGCCTATGTACTAATGACATCACGGTTTGTTTTGCAGTTTCAACCTTACTCATCATGTAAATCCGTGTTTACATTTGATTTGAGCCCTGTTTTAAGATGTCTGCACTAGTAAGCAGGAGGTCGTGGGTTCGAGTCCCACCCGAGTAAGCTTGTGACTTTTTCACAAGCTCTCAGACTAGCACTGAGCAAAGTGTTTATTAATATATACGTTGGTAAAGGCAAAAACCGTTATATAAATGAATTGAACTTGCATCATTAGGCAGGTTCTGGTCTCGGTGAACCATCATCAGATCACTGATTGGGGTCAGTGGTACCAGCAAATCAAATAGGCCCTTTGTTTTTCCTCCTGGGTCAAAAATTATAACTGCTCATAAACACACATTATTAATCGACTGGCTTTTTTTTTCCTGTAGGCTGGAAGTACAGTAGTGGCTTCGTCAGTGAGGATATGATCCGCGACCACATGCCACCGCCCAGCAGTGACACCATCATCCTCATGTGCGGACCGCCTCCCATGATCAACTTCGCCTGCCTGCCCAACCTGGAGAAGCTGGGTTACACCCCTGACATGAGGTTTTCTTACTAGAGCACTGGATGGGGGGGGGTTTAGGAAGAAAAATGACTACTGTGCTTAAGAAGCAAAGTAGGGGCACCAGTGGGATTTCGGGTTTCCTGTCAGAGGAAAAGAACTTCTTGTTAACCGCTGCCGGTGGATTAAGGTCACACAAGATGGGTGTGTTAACCGGTGTGACCATAGAATTCTGTAGATGAAGTTCACGTTAACGTCTTTAGATGATGTTATTGTAGACATTCTGTGACAATTTGTTGGGAGAACAGTTGTGACCCAGCCTAGCAAAAGGTGTCGCAGGTCGTTAGACCGCCTTTTTTTTGTGTGTTTTTTTTTGAGGTTTTTTTTTTTCTTAGTTCGAAGGCCTTCGAACAAGTCTTTGCACTCACTCAACTGCAACCCTCAAATCTCTTGACCAACGCCCATTGTCAATGCTTAGTACGTCAAACTAAGGCTCTCTCTGTGCTCTGTCTGATGGAAACTGAACCAGATAAATTGACCTAGATACTCATTTTGTTGGAGCCAGTCGCAATTTTTTTAAAGTATATTTATAGTTAGAAGCATTGATATCCTTGGAATGAGCCTTCACTGAGAGGCATGAAAGAGACATCCTTGAAAATCATGGAGAAGAATTGTGGAGAATGGAATACCTTGACTTGCCGAAACAGGAGCAAACTTTGCTTGGAATTGTTCTTGATAGATGCTCATTTGACAAAGTCATTGGGAAAAATTGGTTAGACGTGAATTCCAGATATTTAGACTTTCAAAGAGGTAACAAAACGGGGTCTGGTAAAATTACGTGCTCACGGCATTAAGGTAAAATTTGGATTTCTAGATCTGTATAAAGCATGCTAGCAAAGGATGAACTTGATAAATATTTGTATTCATTTCGGACTTTGGAGTGAAAATTCCTTTGTTGGGGGCTTTTTATAAAATGGAGGCAAAAACGCCTGAGAATCTTCATGTAATATTTTCTGAAATGAAATTGTGTTTCAGACATTTTATATTGTGATTAATCACTTTTTATTCAAACGATGAAAGTAGAAGCATGGAATTAGTTACTCTTCTATAGTAAAGCTTTCCTAAATTGCAGTAATTAAATGCTAACATACATCAATTAAAAGATTACTTTTGTCACCATTATAAAGTGCAAAATGACTGGAATCATTATCTATATAATACCTGGTTATTTTCATTAAAAAAGAGCATTTCTACAGAAACTAAAGATCCATATATAAATTGAAATGAATTGAGAATTGTCACAAAATCCGAGTATACTTTAATGAAAAATTCTCAATTGGAAATTGCTCATCTCTTAAAACATATTGTTGGTCCTCAAACCGAATGCGCCATTCGGGAACCTCATGTGGAAGTAGAAACTGTTTTGTTTCTGCCTGATTTGGCATTCTTAACTGGGCAACCCGAGTTCGCAATCGGGCTCAACATTTATATTTGCTGAGCAAGAAATGCCAAATTCTGTGGCAGTTCTGGCTGGTAACCATTCTCTGGCTCGGCAGCATGATGAAGTTGATACCAGAGGAAGCTGGTTATAGTACTTCTGGCAGGGAAGAAATCGAAACTTAATTATAAAGTTCTTTTTTTTAATGTACTGGTGATGAAGGCTACTGTCAAAGGCACTTAAGGAATGCTTGAATGAATGCCGTCAAATTCAATTCAATTTCCCCAGAGTTGTATTGACGGCTCGACTCGGGTCTGGTTCGAGTCACAATATTCAGTGCCTCGACTTGATTTGCGATGGGTAAATGACTTGACTCAACTTGTGTTTTATGCTTGACTCAACTCGAGTCACTACGTTAACACGACTCGGTTCAAATAAAAAAAATAGTGACTTGTAACAACTTGGGTTTCCCCGAAACTTATCTCAAGTAAGTACTAAAATTTTGTCTCTTGCAAGAGTGTTCACACGGCCCATACATGTACACATTTAACGAGATTTGTAATGACAACGCAATCTCAACATTATGAAAATTCCATCTTAATTATTTCATCAAAAAAGTCAAACGAACTACATAAAATATGACATCTTAAACATTAAGTTTGTTAGCATAATAGGAAGGAAACATTTCAGCTGCTGAGATACTAGATAGAGTAAAAAGAGGCACGTACGCAACAGTGGAGCGTGTCGTCGGCTGTATGCATGTTGCAAAAAACGAACTCTACGATCTAGTTTTCTTTAAACAACCTAGCAGTTTGGGCCAAATAAATTCATCGAAGTTACTTTAACTGTGCACTTGCGTGTTCAGCCAATGACAATGTTTTCCAGTGCAATGTGCGAATGTGAGGAATGTTTTAATAAGGAAATAAAGCAGCCGTTGACTGCTTAAGTGCAATGCTCATGTTTTTATGAGGAAATAAAAAACCGTCAACTATGATGATGCATTGAAGGTGCTTTGCTGAAGGTTCTGCTAAACGTATCATATAATTGCAGTAGTTTATCAAACGGGGAAAGGGGATTTTTATTTTGATGATTACTTTTTACAAAGAAAACGTCATCGGCAAGGAAGTAAGCGGTCTACAATACTTATCTAATATTAGCTCCTAAACACTTTAAAGAAACAACATCATGAAATAAAGGCAAGAATGTTGGGACGGCAAGTATTCCCAAGTTGAATGAGGCCAATGCGGCAGTAGATTTTCAATTTGGCCTCCCCTGACATTAAATGCCGGATACGATGCTGAAAACTGCACGGTCAAGCGAAGCCAAGTTGGTTGTATTTAGAGTCACCGCCCCACATCCTCCCCGTCTTGGTCGTTTTTGGACGCTGTTTATACAAACCTGTCTGGCAGATCTTTCCCTTGGTTCCCTACGTTAGTTTATTTGCCACATGAATGGTTGGCAAATTGCTGTTGGCCGTCAATACAAATGCAAATGAATGATTGCGTTATAAATTCCAAGCTACCAAAGCGTGAAAATACCGTAAATTAAACCGAAACTTGGCACACCAGCCCTTGTGGAACTTTGTGCATACTTTGGCCACCAGTAAGTTTCAACAGGCGAACGTAATTAGGCGATGAAGTGAAAAGGTTTAGGAGGCGGCATCATCGTGTTGGTCTTCTCCAACATTAGACTGGTTAGCTGTTGCTCCAGCCTCGCCGACGATCTGGACAGAAGAATGAATTCAGATATATTAAGTTTCAGGGGAAATCTTGAAAACTTTGAGAATTCAAAAACAAATCAGAAGACTGCAGTCTGTGAGTGTGTACGCAACAGAGCGGGGAAAAGTAGACCACTATGGCGCAAAGCAAGCGGATAACACCTGTTCAAAGCCCAATCTTGCGGGGTTGAAATCTGATTATTAATTTCATGTTTGCACGTCGATTCCATTTGAGTCTCCTGATAAAGACTCCAGTCGAGTCAAGTCTTTTGCTCTCGGTGACTCAGTTTTAGTGGGAAACAAGTAGAGCTGCCGAATTGGACTGGAAGAGAAGTCTCAATCTGGTTCATAAGTGACTTCGTCACAAAGGCGCACGCGCCACGATTTGCAGGCTCTCATTGGACAATCGCTGAAGTTGCGCGTTAGCTTCCGTTCCACGATTCCACGTAAATTGCGATCAATACATGTAACCCATGCAGTGCACGGGTGCAGTGGGCGTGGTTTAAACTGAAGTGACGTCACACTTACGAACCGAATTGCAATCGTTATCCGCCCTGAGCTGAAGTGCACCCTCACCGGCGAAAGGACAGATGGCACTACGTTTTCCAACCGGGTTCTAGCACGCGAAGACCACACATTCTAGACTATGGCTGCATCCGAATCTCTTGTCTAGAGCTAGGTCTAGGTCTTCGCTCCAATGGAAATGCGTCGAGACGCGCAGACAATAGACCTAACCGTAGCTCTGGAAGCCCGTTTCGGACACGGCCTAAATCGTTGCGCGTTCTCAGCGTGCTCCGCGTCAAATGCGCATAGACTTGCGCACCTATGCGATGTATAAGTACCAAAGGACCGTCGATTTCATTTCAAAACACGCCCTCTTTTGTTCTTGCTTGTAGCGGATACGCAAGCGATGATTGCCATGTGCATTACCAGCGTTTCTTTTACCATCATAGGCGTAATGTCAACATGGTCATTCTATGAATAAGGGGCCCGATCCCTGTCACATCTATTATATGATTTTGTAAGTTCAGAACTCCAATCTCTATTTTCCAAGAGTGATGAATAATACAAATTACCCGCCAAACAAACAGAGTTTGAAATCAATTTCAGTTCGACTTTTCCATGCCAAAAGACACAGGTGTAACAGGGACACCTGAATGTCAATTTTTGGACCCTGAATTTATAGAATGGCCCAAACGCCTTTGGGTTTGTTAAATGCTACTTTAAATTTTGGCAAAACAACATCTTAAGTATACCTTGGATATTTCTGCTTTGAAAGGGAGCACTACCAGTGTTTCGTAAGATGATATGGATGTTTTTTTAATCGATTCGACCAGTTCCTTCTCACTATCAGTTGATGACTCCACGGGTTGATGTGCTTCCTTTGATCTATTACTTTTTAACTAGAAAGAAGCAGAAAACGAGAGAGCGAAAAACAAGTTTTAATTGAAATAATTCATATTAACTGCGACAATCATTCATGGATCTTTTCCCTAGAAAATACTGCTTGTAAATGATAATGAACAGGTTATGAATAATTACTACGCATGAACAACGCAAATCCGCGACAAACTCCGGGTTGCCGATGCTGAGCTCACGATAAAGTTTACATGCCTAACAAATGTCTGTCCCATAGCAGTGCATGAAATTTGGTACGATGTTAATATATGCTGATTTTTTCCCAGATATTTCTCACCTGCGTCTGCACTTACTGTGAATTCATGATTGCGAGCCACAACAGTTGGTCGCCTCAGGTTTGTTCTGGCGTGGACGGCGCGCTTACAAATTTAATCAACAATTCGATTTATTGCAAACAGGGTTGTGACGGAGAAATGAAAAGGTCCATTAAGATGCACAGGTCCTTGATTGAACCTACCGAATTGAATACACACGAACAATGTTAATCTACTTCACACCTGTTCTATTGCTTCCAACTCTTGTGGATTCCACTTGGGGAAGACCTTACACTTTTTCAGGAGGTCGAATATGTTGTCTGGGTCGAGATACTCAGCTAATTTGGCACAGTCGGTGTGCTTTTTTAATGGAGTTTTGTTGAGGAGCAAAGACACTAGACAGAGGTGGCCTGTCGGTCCATCCAGCCCATGAAGCAACTCTGTAGTGGCAGATTTGAGCGTGACGTTTTTGGTGAAACGCTGCCCCTTGGGACGCCCACCGTCGTTTTTGATCATCTCATCAGTGATGCACTCGATCCAACATTCGTGTCGTTTACCGTCATCCGGATTGTTTTCCTCAACTTTCTTTTTCAGTTCTCCGTGGATAGCTTTGATCTTGTCGTCCATTCTGAAGTATTTTGTCAATTCTGAAGCGGTGAATTTAAGGATTTTACGCGCGGGTTCAATCAACTGGTACCCCTGTTGAAGTACATCGGGCTCCTGGTAGAATAATTACAGTCAAATAACACATTGCAGTCAAAATGAATGTAAAAATTCATGCAGGGTACCAAAGAAATGTTGGGCTAAAACCGGTTCTCTTGTCAATGTGAGGCGGATAAGCTGGTCTTGCGTGAATCATGCAATAAAGTGCAAAGACTGGTCCAAAATTCCAGAGTTTTTCGAAGGGGGATTGGGTTGGGTTGGGCTGGGTTGGGTTGGGTTGTGTGGGTTGGTTTGGGTTGTGTGGGTTGGGTTGGGTTGGTTTGGGTGCCTCCCATTGTCGGCCGCCAGGTTGTTCTATTCTATTTGCCATAAAAATGTGCCCAACATCAGTGGCGTAAAATGTGCGGGAAATTAAAGGGACGGGGAATGAAATGGTGGAGGTGAGGGGTAACTTACCTGGCCATGGAAATCTGAAAATCGGTCGAAGGTGCTGACACCATGTGATATTATTTAGAGGGCGATGTTCGTGCATATATAGGCACATCTGATTACTTTTTACATTCCTGCGCAGTATCTCCTTTTGAAACTCTGCTGTTGAACACAATTCTAGTTACAGAGAAGTCCGAAAATTTTTGACAATCGGCCTGAATATTTTCTTGTCGTATAAAAGTGTGAGTGGACTCGGTGGAAATGATTCAATAGCCCATCCTCGGATAAAAAAGTGGAGGACATATTCCCCACCCCGGGGATCTCTTGTACCATCAACATCACCCCCACCCCACACACACACACATCTCCATGGCAGGGTAAGTCACCGCCTATCATGCATCGCCACAAAGTAATGCCACTGCTTTTTGCAATTGTAATTTGACGAAATACAATCTTTTCCTTTTTTTTAAAGGAAGAACTTTGTAAACTCCATTGCCTGTACAACAAATCCCACCTCTATTGTAAAAACCGACACGCGATTCTCTTTGAAGTAACCACTAAAAATGGCGAAGCTTCACCATTAATCGGGATCCATGGCAGGTTGATGCGGTATGTGACGACGTTGTTGCTAATTATTTTACAAACAATTGCAAAGACAAAAAAAAATCGTTTCACCCTTTGCCTTTGGGTCTGTGAATTTGGAGATCATTATTCTGAAAGTAGGCTATACCTTCTAGGAGAGACAAACGCACTTTAAGCACAAAACCAATTTAAATCTGGACTGGCGTGAAAATCTATGTAAATTAGAACCTTCTCCCGTAGAAAGCATAATTTCGGTTACATTTTATGATCCCAGATGGGCAATCCATGAAACTTAAAAAGATTATACCACCTCATGAGTTTAAACACTTGCTAAAATTGGTCTATATATGAAGAGTATCAAATTGACGTACGTGCACCCGCTTGAGCTCGGTCACACCTTTCAATATTCGTTCTGCTTGATAGGCGACTGGGTCAGAGCCGTCGATTCCGGTTATACTCCTCACAGCAAGGGGGATCAACGATTTGGCACAGTGTTTGACCGGGTAAACGTTGTGAAGCTCGTTGTCGATGCTGTGATCCAGGGAGGCATACATGTCAAAGTCGTTTTTCCCAGCATCCCTGACAAACTGCTCAGTGATAATCAGCACCACACACCAGGATTTTTCAATGAGGGAAGAGCGACCTTTGAGATCGAATTCCCCTATTTTCAAATCTTCGTAAGATTCCACTCTCAACTTCACCTTCTCTAGAGCCGTTTTAAGTGCATCGGCTTTGTCCTTATTGGCACTATGGTAAAATAAGGCCACATGCACTCTTTCCGCCGCCATGTCCGAAACTGTGGGGCGAGCAGGATGTGTAGTGTTACTGCGCAATCGCTTCCTGATTACGATAATGTGGGAAGCCATTCTATGGTGGCCCGTAGTAGACAAACGGTGTATTTTGTTTTTAAATAACACAAAGCTTTCATGAGTTTATGCAGATTTTTCTCGACATCGTATTTGGGTATAATTTACTATCCGGTCATCATGATACTGTGCGTTTTTAGACACCAACGCATTTTTTAATGTGTCATGAAAAAAGGACACTATGTATGTCAGTAGTATAGACGGAGCAAACCGCACCCCCATGTGAGGGGTTTTTTGGTGGGAGGAGGTGAGGGGGCCTGGCGGGGGGNTAGGGACGTGAGGGGGAAGACGAGCGGCAGGCGGCGGTGGGCAGTGGCGCGAGGAGGGAGGCGGGCGCGCGGTCGGGTTGATGAGGGGCGGTGACGCGGGAGGTAATTAGTCAATCGAACCACCCTCACATCACCGACGACGATCGGATTGATCGAAGCGCGACCGAATGAGCGCATGCGTCCGGTCACCTACCAGTGACAAAAGCAAGGTGGGTGGATCGCCGGACAGTGAGTGGTCGCCGTGTAATCGAGTCAGGACCTGCGCAAAGAGGTACGGGTACCCTGAGGTGTATATATTCGGCCTCGCATGCGGGCGTTCATCATTGGCCTACCTGCATCTGAAAGAGAGAAATTCTACGTTAACATAGCCCTAGAGCAATCACTACGACGAAGACATGGCCGCACCATCTGGATTTTGCCAGCCGACAACTTCCCCGCCAAGCGGAGCGGAGAACACCCTGCCAGACGGGGCGTCAAAACTGACGCATGGTCAAGTGGTACGAGGGTGGCGTGAGTGCTTCAGCGCTACCGAGAACAGATCGTATTTTTTCAACATTTACAGCCGAGAGAGCCGATGGACTTTGCCTTCAACGCCGCCGGTACAGAATGAGGAGAACCGGAACAGCGGACCCGAGCTGGACGTGCTGGAGGCGGCAGCCGCGGAACTCTCCGGTAACCCATCACCCGACTACTCTCGCCCGCCGTACATCAAGGGTAAAGGCAGCACCGGTGCGAAGCGAGTGTCGGAGGAAGTGGACACCAACGTCGACATCAAGAAGCGGAAGTTTGCTCCGGACCCTGAACAGCAAGAGAATGACAACAACGCCGTCAAATTCCACATTGGAGGTGAGCGTTACGTGAACGTCAAACGCTTCAAAGGCCGGGTGTACGTGAACATCAGAGAATTTTACTACAACGAGTCCAAAACCAAACTGTTAGCGGGGAAGAAAGGCCTGAACTTGACGGCAGAACAATGGTTCAACCTTTATACTCAAAGTAAGGCTATAACTGAGGCCATCGAGAATGTCTAGAGATTGTAAAGTAAGTTTGTATGTTTCTTTTGAAATTTGTGTATCGCAGAAACCTCTTCCAGGATCACGAGAGGAAGGCGTGAAAAGTCTAAAACACTCACCGGTCTGATTTTGACAAAACTCATCACGGACGAGATGTTCCGCCTGGTGAATCGCGCCCAAGAACAACTCGGCTGCGAGGGTTGTGAAGAGGGCTGGCCGAGCTTGTTCGAGCATGCCTGTACATTTTATGGAGTCTGTCCTGAGTCTCGCATCCACGAATATATCGGCGAGTTCCTGGAGGAGGCATGGCGGTCAGTGGACACGAACAGGGTACGCCCGATATTTCACGCTACGATCAGTTTGTTGGGCGCCGCGGAGTTCACCGGTCAGGAAATGGACATGATCAGTACTTTGAATACATTCGTACAAGACATTGTAAATGAATGGAAGAACAAACCAGACCAGATTGTTGATTTTTTTCTGGACAGAGGATTTAATAACACAACCGAAATCATTCAATACGCAGTTGACATTGTAGAGGATTAAGAATTTAGTCGAGTTTTACTGTGTACACGTACACGCATCTTTAAACTCTGTAGTGCTGGTAACCGCTGTTAACATGTTTTGATCGTATTGCTTATGGACTGACTATGAGTGTTGAAAGTTTTCTTTGTTGTTCATGCACTGTAATAACTGTACGTTTAAAATAAATCTCATTGTAGGTCAGTGTAAACGTGATAGTGTAATTGAATAAACCACAATCCGCATGTAAAACCTGGAAAGTGCGTCTTCAATCTTTTTTTTTTAGTCGGAATGTTGATTGATTAAGGACGGACTGAAGCGGGGAGGGGGGGGGTACTGCGTTAGCACAAATCGGGAAAAACTGGCATAATTAAAACTCGGCATCCAATGTGAACACAAACCGCTCTCCTTTGGTGCTCATGACGCCGGCTTTTTGGTATTCTCCGACCCGCTTTTCGAAGAAGTTAGTCTTTCCCTCTAGAGAGATGTTTTCCATGAATGGGAAGGGGTTGGTAGCCTTCCATATCTGCAGCACATGAAAAAATTGAATGTACACGAATAAGCGCAAAGTGAGAGGAAGAGTTGAACGCGGCGAGCACGTCCATANCATCTCCATGGCAGAGTAAGTCACCGCCTATCATGCATCGCCACAAAGTAATGCCACTGCTTTTTGCAATTGTAATTTGACGAAATACAATCTTTTCCTTTTTTTTAAAGGAAGAACTTTGTAAACTCCATTGCCTGTACGACAAATCCCGCCTCTATTGTAAAATCTGACAGGTTATTCGATTGTCTTTGAAATAACAACCAAATATGGCGAAGCTTCGCCATTAGTCGAGTCCGGAGCTATGGCAGGTTGATGCAGTATGTGACGGCGTTGTTGCTAATTACTTTATCAACAATTGCACAGACAAAAAAATCGTTTCATACTTTGCTTTTGGGTCTAATTTTGAGATCAGTATTCTGAAAGTATACCCTCTATTCGAGAGACAAATGCACTTTAAGCACAAAACCAATTTAAATCTGGACTAGCGTGAAAGTCTATGTAAATTAAAACTTTTTCGGGTCGAAAGCATAATTTCGGTTACATTTTATGATCCCAGATGGGCAGTCCATGAAGCTTAAAAGGGATTTTATACCACCACAAAAAAACTTGCTAAAATAGGCCTATGTATGAAGAGTAACTTTGACGTACCGGCTTGAGGTGTTTCACGCCTTTCGATATTTTTGCTGCTTGTTCATCGACTGGACGAGAGCCGTAGATTCCAGAAATGCAGCCCAAAGCAGTGGGGATCGACGATTCGTCGCAGTGTATCACCGGAAAAACCTTTTTCAGGTTTTTTTGGATGCTATGATGAAGGGAGGTGTAAGTCTCGAACTCATTCATCCCTGTGTCATTGACGAAATCCTCCGTGAGAAGCAGCACCACACACCAGGAGTTTTTTATGAGGGAACCGCGACTTTCAGGACTGTATCCCCCAACTTGGAAATCTTCGTAAGATTTTACCGTCAAGCCCTCCCCCAGGAGAGCATCTTTAAGGGTGCTGGCTTCTTCCTCATCGTGAGCGTGGTAAAACAGCGCCACGTCCGCTTTTTCTTCGACATTTCCCGCCGCCATGTTGTCGTGAAACTGTGAGTCGGGCAAAATGTTCACTGTATGTATTGTGCGATCACTTCCTTATTATAATGAGCAAAAGGCCATTCCAAAGTGGCCCTGAGTGAACGAACGGTGTATTTTTTTTCTTTTTTAAATAACACGAAGCTTTTGTAAGTTAACTATATTTCCTCAAAATTCCAACAAGAAAGAATTTTCTATCCAGCCACTATGACATTGTCCGTTTTATAGAAGCCAACACACTTTTAAAATTACGACATGAAAGAAATTCATGACACTATGTATGTCCAGTTGGACCCACCGTAATGTTGCACCACCGCTCACCTGAGGTCGGTGTTTTGGTTCATGGTCGGGACTTTCCGAGGCAATTCTGCCAATGCAGGGGGAACATGTTTTAAAGGGAATTTTGAAAAGGCTGTTTCAATAACAAACCTGGATTAAAACATTCTAGCGACTGACCTAGCATAAGGCCGAAGACGATTTCCATGCGGTTAAACCAAGGAACCATGCACCCCTTGCAAAGACACTCATTAGCACAACATGCATGTGTCCACTTGAGACGATTCTGCATGGCTGACGATTCAAGTACATTTGCAAGAAAATGAGTTTTTGAGATTTGTTTCACACGATAATCTGCCCACACTCAACCTAGTATTCACGAACAATATGAATTGGCGTGCGTACCTAGAGCAGTTGGTGTTTTCACAAAAGAATGTAACCTGTGGGTCGCATAATATCATGTTAATCCACGGGTTTCCATAAGCACCTCTTTGCCTATTCACAAAATATAACCCCCAACCACAAAGTCGTACACAAATAGTTTGCACCGTGCTTGTGATGCAGTTGTGGCCTTAATTATAAGTTGTGGCAACGTACGCTCTCCAGAAAATGCACGCATCATTAAATAAACAGCTTGTACACGTCTAATGTATGAGGGGACGAGGGTCAGAGATCGGTGATTGTAAAAGGACGACGCAAATGCCATACCCGCATAAAAATATCAGGAACTAGACATGATACTGTTCAACACGTTCAGGTAGCACAAAGTCAAGCCATAGAGCTCCTTTTTTGTAGCTCCATGGTCAAGCTATATTCCGCAAAATCTCAACGTTCACCACCTGAAACTGTTTTGTTATAAAGGTTATTGTTTCTGAAGATTGGGGACCCTACAGAATTGGAGAATTACATTTGAATTTTTGGCATGCACCACCTAGGCAGATTAACAGTGGCATTATCCTGAATGGTTGCAGGATTTATTTGTAGAAAGAGGCCCAGGTTTAGATTTTTAGGGCAATTATGGGGTAGAATTGTCAGTGCTAGCCACATAGAGGAGTAATCACATGGTTAGCTGTCAGTCAAAAGTCACTTTTTCTCAGAATTAACCATTTGAAATTGGCACGAAACAGGGTGAGCATAATTGAAAAAACTCTGTTTTTGTTGCACTCTTTTTGGGAATGACCTGGGGGGGTCTCGAAGTAAACGTGTCCCATTCTTCCAGTCCAGTAAGAATGAAGGCGTGGATGGTGCATTAATTTTGTTTAAAAAATATTCCAGACTTCAGTCCTGAAGAGGGGATGATTTGGAGATTCATAGGTGAATTACAATACCTACGTTGCCTGGCTCGATAAACCCTTTCAAGAAATATACATTCAGGCAACAAAAATGATTTGTTTCAATTTTGTTTATTGGGATCGCACTGCACTACATAATTCGGATCCAAAGTACAATTAACATTCATTCAATTTCTGTAGAAATGTGCACCATTTGTGACGGTGTCCTTTGTTACGTGGGTTCCGTAAATATGAACAGCTATTTCCCTGGATTCCAACTTATCATCTCGCAAGGCTGAATACAGAGGTGTGTGTAATTTGTACAGAGTAAATGACCGACTCTACAGGTCATGACAGGTGGTAAAAGTTACCCACGTAACAAGCACACCGTCACAAATTGTGCCCAAACCTCATGGAATGACCGAGACCCAGATATCTACGAAAAAGACGAGAAAGGAAAAACTACAACTATAGGATATAAGGATCTATAAGATAGATAAGACTTGAAGCCATGCATGGTGGAAGTACTGAATAGGTTAGGCTTGCGGTTATCATGTAGAAAAACCCTCCTGAAGACGAACACGGCATACTGTTCGGAACGTCGAGTGTTCACCATCGGTTCTTCTCAGAACCACACACTCATATTTGAGATATTTTCTACATGGTGCAACCGCAAGCCTTACCTATTCAAAGATAAAGAAAACTGCAACTGTAAACATCTTTTGTATCATTGATAAAAACGGCGTCGTCAAATGTCTACCCAAAGTGCTAAGAGAATACAAGGACATCGCTTAATCAGTCAACCGCACATTTTGTTGGAGTTAGCTTTAAATT